AGATCCCTGGGATGGTGATGTGGCACGGGGTGCGGAGGTCACACCTTAGGACCTAGTGTGTCCTTGTAGCAGATGTGTATACACCCACATGTTGAACACCGAATGCCTTTGAACTCTCCCCAAACACAGGCCCTGCGACTTGCCCTGACCTTGTCCACACACTAGTATTTTGCAAGCCCTCTCTCCTTGCTGTGGCGGTGACATTAAACTCAGCCTAACTCAGCTCCCTGCCTGGGGGGGGATGGGCTTTTGATAGCACAGCAGCCACGTTGTGCCTTCCCTGCCCCGCCACGATGTCTCCCTCTCATGGAGAGCCCCCCTTCTCCCCCCGATTCCACGCAGGCTAGTGGGGGCCTAGATCCCGAAGCGCTCAAGAGCCTGCCGCTCCCAACCACCACGGTACTTGGCTGCTGCTCCCAAGCCTCTCTGCGCTGCATTAATGCTGTAATTAATGCAAATTAATCTCTCATTATTCCATTCAAAGCCTGGCCCGGGGGGAGCAGGGAGCGTGGCTAGGTGAGCCGGCATGGCAGCCAGCCTGGTGCCAGGGCTTTGGGGCGCTGAGCCAGGCGTGCAAGAAACTGAGCCGAGTGTCTGAGCGGAGCTGGCTCCTTGCAGCAGGCCTGCGTGGGAGAGCCATTCATTCAGCAGAGCCCTGAGCTGCTGCTTGCAAAAGGGGTAGGGGCCCCCCCACCGGTGCCCATTCACAGCCCTTCTCCTCCATCCCCCGCTTTCATGCTCTGCTTCAGCTCTGTCCTCAATTGCCTCCCTGCAGGAGGGGGCCCCACCGAGCACACCTGAGACTCCACCATCTGTTGCTAGCATCAGCCGCTTTCCCGCAGGCCTCCTGGGCCAAACGCCTCCCCTTGGGCTAGCTTGGCTGGAGTCGGTGAGACGCAGGCCCAGGATGGGAGCTGGGCCCCTGGCTGGCTGGCGGGCAAAGAGACACAGAAAAGGAAGGAGACCTTCATTCATTTGTAGCCCCCCTCACTGCCCTGAGTGGGTGAATGCCAAGCAGCGTCCCTACCTTCCCCCTCCCGCCCCACACATCTCTAGCCCCTGTCCCGTGAGATCGCTGTGAGATCCGCCTTCCCTTCCTGCAGGGCCTTCCTGGATTCCCTTCCCAAGCAGATTGCTGCACAGCTGGGGTGAGCAGCTCTCCTTTCCCTTCCAACTCAAGATGATGTCCCTCTGAGTCAGGCTGCCAGGGAGCCCTCGGCCCTGAACCAAGGGGTTTGCAGGGATGGGGAGGGGGAACAAGCAGGCAGAGGTGAAAGGAATCAAGGCAGGAGATAAGGGAGGTGGGCCAAAGAGAGGGGAGAGACTGCGGGAGCTGAAAAGATGGGGGTACAGGATCTGAATGGTCAGATGTGATATCTATTTGAAGTGCCATGAATAGCATTCCAATGGGGCTGTAGGAAGTAAAGGGAGCATTTTCTCTTTGGAGCTACTGTACATGGAGCGAGAGAAAAAGGAGGAGGGGAAGGAAAGAAAGGGATGGGGGAGGGATGGATGGACAGATAGAAATGATGATGGGGTCAGACAGATAGGCAATTAGATACACCGACAGCCCAGAAGGCGGGTAAATCCATCGCTGGGCAGACGAAAGGAGAGAGAGATCGGCAGCGAGATCATTAGCCAGCTCATTAAAAAGATAAGCAGCTGATTAGCTGCAGTTGCAGACACTGTCCAGGGCTGGGGATAGAGCTGCGGGGCACTGAGGAGAACACGGAGCCGTTTATTAATAATTCGAGGCTTTCCTAGCGCTGCGTGTGTCCTCTCCAGGCTGCAATAAAGCAGAGCATGCTCGCGCTCTCCCCTGGGCTTCGTGCAGAGAGCTCCAGGTTTGATCCAGCGGAGACATCACATTTCTGAGGCTGCATTGAATTAGCACCTTCCCCCACCCCGACAGTGGCACACGTACTCGCCGCTCTTTCCCCACTGGGCGCTTTCCCTCTCTCTCTCAACACTCCCTTCTGGGAGCAGCAGCCCCTTGTTCTGCAGGCTGGCTTGAGGACCAGTGGCTGAGTCCAAGGAGAGTGCAGCCTGCCCAGCACCGGGCCAAAGGTGGCTGTAAACTCAGATGCAGGACCAGGGTGGCCCCCAGTGTAAATTAGAGCAGCCCCAGGCTCTCAGCCCTATGCTGTGCCTGTGCAGGGGGGATTCTCTCATGGTGCCTGTATCAGCCCCTATATGTTGCCAGAGCAGTGCAGGGTTGGATCTCTCCTTGCCTGTCTGTGCTTTGCCAGACACCTTTGGCAGGTATAATTCACCTAGCTCCCCATTGTTTTCCTGTCTAAGAAGCAGCCTGCAGCCCCTCCTGGAGGAACAGTCAGTGCTGCATGTTTTCTTGTTTCCAAGATCGTAGCTAATGCTAGTGTCTATTATCTAGAAGGGCCTCCAAAGCATTTTCACAGACCCCAGGCACCCAGCATTGCTCTCTGTTACGGCTCTGCGGGTGTAATCTGGATTAACGCAGCAGGACTGCTCCACCGATGCGACTGCTAGCTGGATATACAGGAACTGTGCATCAACACTGAGATGCAGCCACCTCGGGTGGAACACAGCAGCTGTTCAAAGCCAGCTAGGCAAGACGCTGGAGCTAGTTCAGCCTGCTGGGAGAAGAGAGCGGGAGGAGTTAGAACAGCAGGATGCAGTTACTCGTGGGAAGTTTGCTCGGATGCGGAGGCTGATGCTGCTCTTGTTCTTGTGAAAACAAGAAGAGGTTTTTATCAGTCATGAGTGGTTGGGGACCGCTCCTCTGAAAGGTGGCATTGCCAGCAGCACAGCGGCCCCCTACAGTAGTGGATCAGCAGTGTCACAACAGGGTATCACTCCCCAAGCCACCAGCACCACTCTCTGAAGTACCTGGTTTTTCCAGTCTTCTGCTCAGGCTATTGCTGGCCAAGATGCTGGCTTTGGCCCAGATCCTCCAAGGTGTTTAGGTTCCTAACTTCCATTGATTTCAAGGGTCCTAAAGCCTTTGGGATCTCTGGACCTTTCCCCCTTCTGTCACTTCACTGAAAACTCCATTAGCTTGGGGCTGGGGGGATGGTTGGGTGTCTCATAATGACCACTTCCCCTGGTCATTCACCCACTTGGCTCTAAAAGAGCTTCATTAGTCACTCTGGCTGAAACTGACCCCTTTGCACACTCAGCATGGGCCTCTGCCACTTAGTGTGCTGTAGCGTTGTGCTGATCTTCTGCATAGGGGCAAATTGCACCCTCCTTTCTGCTTAGCCCAGGCTCCCTGTTTAATATGGACTCACCTTGTTCCTGGCCCCCAATATGAGCCACTCTGAAAGAGCCACTCTGTGTAGTGATTTCTTGCCTTCACGCCCTATAGAGCCTTTCATCCGGCAGGGTCTCGAGCCATTTCACAGACTTGTCCCCTCAATCTTTGGACTCGCAGTCAGTGCAGCTGTGCTGGTTTCTACCAGGATTGGCTCTGGCCTTGTGTACATTCAGATCACTCCCACCACCTGGTAATGCAGCCTGTTTTGCAGCAGTGCATGGCAGTGGGGTGGAGAGGCTGGAATTTAGGGAACAGGAGGTAATTGCCAACAGCCAGAACCCTAAGTTTAAAGAGGAATCTCTATGGACCACAAGCAGTTGGAATCTAACCAGCACAGTGCCCCCTGGGTATTCCCTCAGTCCTGATTCAGCCAGAGCAGAGCGATCTACTAACACAAAACCAGGGCATTGTGCCACAAGGTTCCTTCCTGCAGGGTACAGCGTTTCCTTGGCAGTCTCCTAGCTAAGTACGAGGCCAAAATTTCCCTTGCTGTTCCATCTGGATGTGGTATTCTCCTGCACTCCCTGAGTTAACCTGCTGGTTAGTCTGACTTTCCACTGTTAAAAACAGCTGCCATGTTACACCCCAGAGGGGGCTGCATGGCAGTGCAGGTGAGGTGATTTTCTTATAAGTGGTTGTAGGCCTGGCTTGACATGAATGAAGCCTCATTTCTCAGGAGACAGGATTAGGGAGGTAAATGAATCAGCAGCCTGGAAACAGAATGTCTGCACTAGCTAAAACAAGGGGGAACCCCCAGGGAACCATTTACAATGGCCAAGATAACAAGCAACAAGATAAATTGGGATCATAAAGATGATGTAAAGAGTAAGTCGTGCGTGGACAGAGCATGCCATATGGGGATTGTACAGCCAATCCTTAAACGTGTGATGCAGTGTATGGTAAATGTAGTTTAATCTGGAAACGTCTATAGAGGAAGAAGTTTGCTGTGTAATTTTGGGGGTGGGGGGTATGCCCTGTACCCACCCTCTACTCTTGAGCCTACTTAACTCAAGTGTCGTTTGATTGCATGCCAATAAAGAAACCTCAGTGAGGAGTTCAGAGTCGAGCTGAGTTCTTAGGAACTGAGGGGATAAGATCGTGGAGGCCACTGGGTGGATAAGGTCTCAGAAGCCGCCCCAACGTACTCCTGAGCGGATAAGGTCTCAGAAGCTACCCCAGAACTGGTCTGGTGGATGTCGCAGGGCTCTGCTGCGAGCAATGCAAAGTTCTTGAGGCTGGTGGATGCAGACTGAGGCCTGGGCTCTCTAGCATCCGCTGCCAGCTTGGCTCTCTAGGTCTTGGCATGGAATAAACAGACCTGGTATGGACGGCTGCCTATGCTACCCAGCGAGGTGCTAGATTCCCAATGTGACCTTCCTCGCGAGGCCTACAGTGGCTTGGATCGTGCCTTTGTACGCCAGCTTGGCCTGTCCACTTTCAGAGGCCCGCTGCCTGCCTGCCTGCCCCTAGGCTTTCAAAGAAAATCACGTCCTGACTGGGATTTCGCTTCCAGGGAACGTGTTTATTTCACTCTCCGTGCTTGTCTCCGCACGGAGCCTTTCCCACAGCTTTAACAGAGTTGGCTTAACCAACAATGATCTCAATGTTCAGGTCCACGCCCCCGTCTGCCAGGCTGCTCCCTGCAAACACCACAGCCTCTCTCCGGCAGGAGTACTGCCACCGCTCGTTCTGGATAACCAGGACTGCCCTCTGGTACGCCTTGTACTGGCTCCTCGCACGCCACATCCTGACCAGTGACTGCAGGAGGACGCTAGCTCTCACGGGCCTCACATACATTGCCAGCGCCCTGACCCTCCTCTCCTCCAGCCCCCGGAAGGAGACCCGGCGCCACCACCTCTGGATCATCAGCACGCAGAGCGTCGCTTGGCGCACCGTTCGCCGGGTGAGCACCCCCCGCCACCACGACTGGATGGCAATGGCGGATTTCCAGCTGGGGTCCTTCTCTGGTGCGGGAGCGAGAGCAGGAGAGATCGCTTTCTGCTGTGAAGAGAAGGCAGGAAACTGTCTGTCGCTACGGGAGAGGCAGCCACAGAATAGCATCCATCTCTCCATTGAGTCAGAAACACTGTGCAAACTTGGGACGTAACATCTGGTTTCCCCCGTCACTCCTGTGTGTGTAATGATCTCAGCTACAGGCCACCAGCAGAGTCTGAACGCAGGGCCTTCTGCACTAAAGCTCAGACTTCTATTGCTTGAGCTAAAGGAAAAGCTCCATTAGCTGACAGCAGTTGTAGGCTGTTACCTTCTATGTGGTCTAGCCCCTAGAAGGGGACATGACACCCACTTTATGTTTATTGAACACCTTTTTGCCCAAACATAGGTGTCCATGTAGGCCTTAAATGGGCACCTAAGAGACCAGCCAAAACTAGCTGCCTCATTGGGGTTGATCCAACCGAGCAACCAATCAAAGGTAGGTGAAGCTGCTGACACAGTACCATGCGCACTGACACTTCCAGGGTGGCCCTATAGGGACTTAAAATACCAGCCTGAGCCTGCAGGAAGGGTCTCCAATGCTTGCGGGGTGAGCTGTTGTTTTGGCTGGCCGTAGTCACTGGAGAAGGTGGAATCCCACTAGGCCTGTTGGGGGAGATGCTGGGAGGGCGTTGGGGCTGTTGTGGCTCTCAAGGAATGTCCAGGCCTGCCTCTGTGCTCTGCAGTGGGAGGAGTGGAAATGGAGAACCGGGGCCAGCTTTCCGGGCCTGGCAGAAAAAGACCATCACAGAGAACCAGAAGGATTCCTGGAGCTGTGCAGAGAAGAGAGGCTGCCCCCAGTCAGGCTCCCCCTGAAATCTGACCCGGTTTTCCCAGTTCCACTGGTCATGCTACATGTCCTGGCACTGGCCATTCAGCTCTTGCCAGCTTTTGCCTAAGCCCCCTTTGGCTTCCAGAGCAGGGGGATGTCTTTAAAAGTGATATGAAGGGCACCGTCGGGGGGCAGATCTGTGCTGGGTGACACCCGCAGCCCCCCTTGAGCTGTGCCTGGGGGTTTTCAGTCAAAAGAAACCCCGCCTGCGAGATGAAGGATACTCACATCCATAGCTGCTGCCTGGTCTGGAGCACCCAGCTGCTGCAGGGAGTCTGGGGCTGCCGAGAGCTGCCTCTGAGCACCATCCCCACCTCCCAGGGCAGGGTCTGTGACCATGCAGTTCTTCAGCGCCTTGGCATCGGGCTTCTTCCTGGGGCTGCCCTCCAGAGCCTTCACGCCCGCCACGGAGGAAGGAAAGAGAAGAGCTGCTCAGCGTAAGGATGAGAGGGAGGTCTCAGGGCTGACGGCTGCAGCCCAGCGAAGATGAAAAGTCCCCACCACCCATCAGTGAGGCTTCCCCTCATCAGCGCCTGCCAGTGTTATCCTGACTTTCCCCGAGCTTGTCAGGGCTCTAAAAGAACAGGTGTGGGAGCTAGAGCCAGGCAGACCAGGTGTGCTGCCGTCTGCCTCAGAGACAGGTGTAACTGAGAGCAGAGGCTGGCTCCTAGAGACAGGCGGACGTACACAGAGACAGGGGGAGACACGGGACTGCCCAGCCAGGATCAGACTAGTGCACCAGTGAATCCAGGGGCTGGTGCCAGCTGCTGCAGAGGACGGTGCAATGGGCAGTTAGGGGATAACTTGCCACAGGGGGAGAGAAATCCAATCGCAGGGCTTGGCCTGGCTGCATTGACTTTGGTGGGCATAGTCTACAGGCGGCAACCCCTGTTATTCAGTTTAGTTGCAAGTTTATTCATTAGCGCCCTCATCATCGATGGCTTCGGCTCTTCTGCAGTCAGAGCAATCGCACCGCACCTGCAGTGTTGGTCCCAAAGGCTGGTACCAGACACACTTAGAATATCTCTCCATCTCCTTTCCTGGTTTGGGTGGAAACATAACCCTTCTGTGATCAGCCTCTTTGCTCAGGGGTGAGGGTGGTTTGAGGAGAACCAGGGAATTTAATGCTGGAGAGTTGAATGGAATGGAAGGGGAGTGAAGGCAGGCAGTGGACCCCATCCTGAACAAGAGATTGCCTCACTGAGAGTGAGGAGGTGGATGGAGTCAGTCAATCCTAGGCTTCTTCTCCACACCAACCCTAGGTTTCTCCTCCAGTGGATCACCCAGCTGTGTCCTGAGAGAGCTACTCTCTCCTAGCAGGGGAGGGGAAACCTGCTCCCCATGGTTTGCCATCCTCGGCTTCTCCCTTTGCCCCCATTACCCATAGTTTCTCCAGAAGATCTACCACATTCTGCCCCAAGAGACAATCCTCTCCTCAACAGTGGGCTTGGGGAAGGGAAATGGTGCCTATAAAGGGATCTGTGGCTAGGAAGTTTCTACTTCTAGGGTTGATATTATCCCCCTCAACAGCCAGATATAAGAGAGCGTTATCTGTGAGTAATGCACTCCGTACGGGAGGTTTGTTTTTTCATGCCCCCATCAGGCACCTTGCATCTCAGGAGAGGACCACGTTTCCCTGGGATGGCAGTTCACCTTCAAGCAGCTGCGGGTCCTTTAGGACACTAGCATCAGCACCCTGTGGCGAGAGCTGTGATGTTACAATGGACACCGACATCGCCAGTCAAGCTGGTCAACCCAGGTAACGGATGAGACAACACTAGACCTGCCTTGACTGCTCTGCTGTTGGTCATTGGCTGGGTTGGAGGCAACCCAGATCTATGTGGGTCACAGATGTGAAAAACCTTGACCTCGGAAGGCATGTTCAGGGTTTTTTATGTCCTGGCTGAACCCCAGGGCGCTGGGGGCAGAGTGTGGAGCAATGAGGCATTGAAGAAACAGCAGGGAGTCTGGTTTTCCATTGTACATAGAAAGAGAGTAGATGTTCCTCAGGGTGACTGCAGGAGAGAACATTATCTATCTGTGGCTGGCATCTTCTTCATCACTCGTTTCTCTGCACAACTGTGAACATGGACACATCTGTACCTGTTTTGTTCTCTCTCTCTCTGACATGCACCTGGCCAAATCCTTCTCTCATACTAGCGTCTTCCCTGGAATCACTGAGCCTTTCTCTCACAGCTTCATAGTCCACAACTAACCCTTCAGGGGCTAGTAGCCGGTGGCTCCTTGAAGGTGGGAGGTTTACACTTACTAGGAATCATGACCACCAGGAGACTGGCTGGCTTAAGGAACTGGGCTAGCCCCTTCCCCCTCTAAGATCTTTGGTTCAAATCCAGCCCAGGCGAGTACTGGCTGGAAGTCCTGGTGTACGATGGGCCATTTGGGAACCGCTGTAAGACAAGTTGGTGGCCTCACCTTTGGTTCCTAGTGGACGTGGGTCTGTGCTATATTGGGACTGTTTGGAAGCCTGGTGGCAATCTTAGTAAAGAAGCCCAGGATTCCATGGCCCTACAGAGAGTGAAAATGCCTCTCGCCTCTGGAGTTGGTTGGCCTCTTGAGGCCAGAAGTGAGGCTCCGTGGGGGGGAATAGTCACTGCTGCTGGCTGTGCCGCATCAGCCCTGCAGCTGGCACCTTTCGAAGGTGCTTAATTCTCTTTAACAAAGGCCTGGTGGACATTCCCAGTGCTGTCCTCCCCTGGGGTGTCTGCAGGGACTCTGGGGGCCAGATGAGCATGTGGGAGCACTGGCGTTGCCCATAAATGGGGCATGTTGCTTTCCATCCTCCCTGCTCCCTGGGGTGCCCTGCACAGCTCCAGCGCACCTGGCTCCGGCTCTGCTCCCTGGGCCAATCGGGAGAAAGCAGCCTTTCCTGTGACAATACATTGTCCCAGCCCTGTGTTACGCCTGCAAGATGTAGTAGGGGTGGGGAGCAAAGGGGAAGGAGGGGAGCAATGAAATGTGCTGCCCTGCAGGATTTCAGACCCAGCAGTGTAATCATGCTGGAAAGTGCCGATCTCACCCAAGTGGCATTAAAACTTATGAGCGTGAGGCAAGGGCAGTGCCAACGGAAGGAAGGGCAGCAGGCAGAATCGTGGCAAAGGCAGAGCAGTCCTGGCTGGTATCCTTCTAGCGGCAGAGTCGTTCTGGCTACCATTCTACCAAGCAGGCTCATGGCACAAACAAAGCTCTGCTGGCCGCTAGCATTTTAGCGAGCAGGCGGGCTCAGGACTATGCCAGACCGGGATTTCCCTACCCCCACTCCCGCCCCCTGAACTCCCCCATCTACCCCGGTGGTTAGCAGAGTGTACCTCGTGCACACTCCCTGGCAATGCTCAACTTCTGTACAGCCAGATTCCAGGAACATTTGAGGGCACTGGGGTCAGTCAGGTCACAGCGGTTCCTAGGATGTTAGCTGCCCACTGATGGGGACAGTCATAAAGAGCACAAGCTTACAGACAGCCTCGCTGCAAACTAAGCGACCCAGGCCCTGGCAGTGCCTCGCTGAGCAATGCAAAACAAATCACTTCCCCTTTCAGGCGCTTGGTTTGCCGACCTCTAAAATGGGGACAGCAATCCCTAATAACCTTACCTTCATTTGTTTTTAGCATCACATGAGCTGGAACCAGCAAATTGTGTGGTAGGGCCCAGCTCCTCAAAGGTACTTAGGTGTCAACTCCCAGGAGTGTTAGGCACCTAAATACCTTTGAGGCTTTGTGCCTCGCTCCCTGTGTGACCACACAATCTCAATATCCTGCATCCCATCTCTCCTTCTGGTTCTAACATTCACTTGTAGCATGGCTCACATTCGATTGTAAGAGGGTAGGGACTGCATTTCCATATGCTTTTGTACATTGCCGAGCACCATCAGGCCTCAGTCCTGATTGGGACCTTTGCATGGCACCATCATTATGAACATTAATGACTTGCCAATGCCTGGACAGCTTTCTGGAAGTGCCATCCCTTGACCTTCAAGCATGTCTGTTACAAATTGTGAAAAAGGGCTGTTCTCAAGAGTTCAGAGAGCCCATTGCTAAATTGCAGCATGCAGGGAGTTCCAAAGGGTGTGGATCTTGCTGGACTGGGCAAAGAATACCCAGCTTGTGTTAGGTATCTCCCCCTTCTACCCAACTCTAGAAGTGCCAGTCGCCAATTCTGGGGTAACAGATGGAGCAGAGGTGGATAATGGGGCCATAAACTTGTCAAATGGGTCTGATGAGAAGAGGGGAAAGTGGAGAACCCATCAGAGCCCCATCTGCCCAGGATTCAGCACACGTGAGAGCTGGAGGGAACCACTGAAAAGGAACAGGACGGTGCCCCACTGGAGGTCACCAGTTGGTGTCAGCCTGCCAACTCCCTGGAGACTGTGGCTGTCGCATGGTGCCGCTGTCTCTGCGGGTCTGAGGATGTTAGTGGGAGGAGGCAAGGGTGGGGTTCTGCTGAACCAGTTGGCAGTAAGAGGAAGTACCGCTGACCTTCATCACATGACACACTGCGTGTTGCTTGCAGAGTATCTGTCTTTCCAAGTAAGATAAGGAAGGCATCCCCCAGGTGAGGCTCTGAGTTCTCCTGCCAGATCAGCAAAGGTCTGTCCTAGATGCCTAGGTACAACTTGGATATCTGGATAACTCCCACATACCTGGATACCTCCAAGATATCTCAATTCCTCCCAGATGTCTAGCCATCTCCTAGGGACAGCCAAATGCTCAAGTACCTCCCAGATGTCAAGAGAGCTCCCAGCTGAGTTTGGGAGTTCTACCTTCTCACAGTGAGGAGTTGCCTTCTGCATTTTAATCAGGACTGGTATAACCTGGCGCGATCCCAACTTGTGCCTAACAGGAGTCGGAGCCCACTGGAACCAGAATGTGATTGGCGGACTGCGGGCCTGAGCGCTGTGATCATTTGGCAATAGGACATGACAGGGAGTGAATTGTTCTCCATTAATTTGCACCTTGTGTGCCTACGGTCAAGTGCCTCCAATGACGATGCCTGGTGTGAATCAATGCAGGGTAATTCGCAGTCTCTTGTGCCTTATTGCCATGAGGAGTGTAATAGTCTGTTAAAGACATATTTGTACATGTTAATTAAGCAGCGGAGACTTCCACATCATCAGGGGCTGAGAAACTGGCCCCAGATACCAGCTCTTGCTAGCCAATCAGCTCACAGGCTTCCTCTCGCCTGCCTCTTTGACAGTCTGTATTTTTAATAGCCTCATTAGTGTGGATTTTTCCCCTTTGAAGGTAATGAGAATTGCTGCAGAGCATCTGGAACAAGCGGCCAGCGTGAGCTGTTTGGAGGAGGGAGGAAGGGACATGCGCCAGCCCTTGTTCTAATCTCAATAATTGGACGCATGCAGTGGAATATTCTGCTCTGGCCCGTTGTTTTTTTCATTCTCCTGTTCTTTTCTCTTCATCTGTCTGGGCTGAGAGATGCCCGCGCCGCACCAGCTCATAGGTGAGACTTTTGTAGGGTGGAAGTATTCTGAGATGAGTTGCTGGTGCTCCGCCTCTCTCAGCATTTGGCCCCTATGTACATATTCCAATTCCTGAGTCAGACCTGCCTGGTCTTGCACGTTCTGGGTTCATTTACAGGCAGTTTTTATAAAGTCTCTCGCTCTGACAGAGAACGATTTTGCGGTATTTCAGCAGGAGGTTTAATATCTCACCTCTGATGATATTGTTGTTGAGATTTCACTCCAGGCTCAGCCTGGCCGAACCATGCAATGGCCCAGCCTCTGCAATTTCTCTTACCACCTGCTGGCGTGACTTCTCTCTAATCATTGGCAAGCAGCGGGTGTGTTGGGAAGAAAAGCAGGGCCCCAAGTCAGGCAGGGGAAAGGGTTCCCAAGAGGGGAAAGGCCCAACCTCCTCTCTGGGAATTCAGTCCCCACAACCATCCCATCTGCTCATGGGGGCAGAGGTAGAGGAGAAATCCCCAGGAATGCACTGGGACTAGAAACCCATTTTGGAGTGTGCATGAGCAGTGTTTGCTGATCCTTTGGATCTAGTCTTAACCCCTCATGGACGGACTGGGATTCCATGGTGCAAGGGAAATGGGGGTGGGAGGAACACTGGGAAGTGGAAAGCAACATCCTCCCTGCGAAAGCCGGTGGTCTCGTCGTGCCTCCCTGCCACCTTGGAAGTCTGATGGAATTAAGCTGCAGAAAAACATCTCGCTGACAACACACAGTAATGCCTGAGGTCCAGGGTCACTCATACGGTTGCCAGACCTCCAGGATTGTCCTGGAGTCTCCAGGAATTAAAGATCATGTCATGTGATGAAACCTCCTTGAATATGTCCAACCAAAATTGGCAACCCTATGCTGGGGGATTAATGTCCAGTGCCCAGGATAGTTTGCTTCTGGTCATTCATCTCAGCAGGTCATCTCGTCCCTCATGGTCGGAGGCCAGCAGTCTCGCTATGATGGAGCTATATTTTACGTAGCTATTATGTGATTATGCTTTCTGAGAGGGATGCTGTGGAACAATGCCCTCCCTCCCCTGCCACCGGACCACATGGTAAAGTGGGAAGTAGCTGCCATTTTCATAGCCTTGGCAGTAGGTTGGCATGAAGATGCACGAATGTGGAAGTTCTGGAATGCAAACTGCCTTGGGGTCCTTCTGAGCATGGAAGCCCCCCTTGAGGTCACTGGACATGCCCATGCAGAGGGCTGGCAGGATTGTCCCTTCTCCATGCCACCTTGGGCACTCCCAGAAGCCATCCTGGGGCAGGAGCTCTAAGAGGCTGTGGTCATGGAAGATGTGATCATCTACCTTTAAACCCATCAGAAGTGGGTTTAAAACCCTTTAAACCCTACCTGTGCATGGCACACTGGCACACAGTAGAGTCAGGTCCCTGCTCCAATGAGTGTGTAGTCTCTGTTAGACATGATACAGCGAGGGATCACGGTAGCCAGAGGGACTTCAGTTTGAGTTCCCATCTTGCTGCAGGACATTGAAACAAAACAAAGTCATTATGTCCATTTCTTCCCGGCAGCCACCCCTTTGCCAGGGTCTTGGATGTACGGCTTCTTGCTCTAGGGTGCACCTTTCCTGTTCCCGATGTGAGGTGGTGGGTGTAGGTGATGGCTGTGATTGGACGTCACTGATACAATGTTACATCATGCCAGCGGGCATATCAGGTGACAGAGACAGGAGGGCATTTGAATCATACACTTTAAAGACCCACTCTGATGGCTGAGCGTGGGAGGTTTTTCATCAATAACAGACGGTGCAACCAGGAGCCTTGACCCCTGAAGAGCAAGGAGCGCCTGCATACAGGAAGGTCCCTCCCTCTCTATGCCCATACGGTTCTCCTTTTCTTTCTGCTGCCAGCTGAAGATCTGTGGGGCCCTCTGTAGTGTTTTGCCTCATGTGTCACCCCGGACAATGCTGTCATAAGTTCTAGCCTGGCCTCTTTTTAGCCTTTGTCCAGCAGGTCAAAATCATTGTATCACAATGTCTTGGAATACACCCTATCATAGTGTGCTGGGGAGGTGCCCCCACGCTGAAATTGCTTTCAATATTTCAGAATGCTTTTCAAGTTTTAATATCCTGTATGCGGAGAGAGAGCCCCATGGAAATCGGGACAGGAGGCGACCTCACACTGATGTCAGCCAACCCCCCTTGCAATATCAGCTCTGTAGTGTCCTCCCCAGCTACTTAGTGTCATTGTGACAGGCTAGCTCCCTGCTTACCTCCCCCAAACACACCTGCCTGCTTTGCATCAGTACTGTACCAGGAATTGTTAGCAGGTGCTGGTATGTTAGAGGGATGCACGGGCTAAGTGCACATCTGAGCATTCTAGCTCTGAGGCTGGCATTGACTCTTTATGTGGCCTGAGACAACTCCCCGAATCTGTCTCAGTTGTCCCACCTGTAAAATGATGGGGGTCAGGATAATGCTTCGCTGGAATCTTTGTCTTATATGTAGACTGGCTTTTTGTTCTGGGCTTGTGCAGCACCTAGCACAATGGGGTTCTGGTCCCGGACTGGGGCTCTTAGGCTCTACAACAATACAAGTAATTAATAATAATAAATTGCTGAATGCTTGCAAAACACTTTGAAGATTATGATGTTCTGTTGTGTTCCCTGCAGCGGAATCTTCTGCTTTTGCAACTGAAGCAGTTTATTTTCCCCAAAAGAGAGCAAAATATGAAATATTAAAACCAACCAAAATCAACCCAGAAGAAGCCACCAGCTCAGGATAATGCTACTCCTTCAGAAAGCTGGAAACCACAGTGCAACAGGAGCGGAGACTGGAAGGAAAAAAACATCCAAGTCACTCAAAATAACAGACATATGTGACCTTCACCCTGACAATGAACATGATGTGACTTGTAGGGAAAGCCTGACAGGTTATCACCCTCTACACTGCTGATAATTATCTTCACATCTAATGTTTGAGGTGGAAAAAGGTTTATTGTTCTGAAAAATATTTTGAAAAGAAATAGCAGGAGGCTCATGCAGCCCTGCTACAGGCATCGTTACATCGATAGAATGCTCGGGAAGTGGAAGGCTATGATTGGCTACTGGACTCAGAGAACTCTGAAGGGTCTCACTTTCAGCCAATCAAAGCTCTCTAGCCTTCAGCATCCCACATGCCGCTACCTTTCTGACATCTCACTGGGGTTGTTCACGTTTCCATAAAAGTGACCCTGTAAAAATGGCATGATGAGGGGAGTTCCATGGTGATTGTCACAGTTTTTTGCCTGGTGCCCTCATCTGCATCATCCCCATTATGGAGTCCTCACAGGGGGCTGATGATGGACTCTCGGACATGGCCAACTTTGCCCTTAGTCACCAGTCCAGATTTGCTGGCCGGCTTCTCCATCAGGTTGGGGAGGGATGGATACTAGGTTTCTTCATAGAATCCTAGAATATCAGGGTTGGAAGGGACCTCAGGAGGTCATCTAGTCCAACCCCCTGCTCAAAGCAGGACCAATCCCCAATTTTTGCCCCCTGATCCCAAATGGCCCCCTCAAGGATTGAACTCACAACCCTGGGTTTAGCAGGCCAATGCTCAAACCACTGAGCCATCCCTCCCCCTCTTCCTTCTTCTCTGTCTCATAGGGCACATGTGTGGTTGGATGTGGCTTCACCAGCTGTGGCGAAACCTTTGTCCAAGATATGCTTAGACTGCACAGTTTCTGGACACTGGGCTGTGGTACATCCTTCTCCAGCATGCACGGTCCTTGAGCCTCCTTCAGCTTAGCCTCAGCATCCAGCTGAGGAGAAACCCAATTGTTTTCTTCAGGAATGAAGCCATGACTCCCATCAAGGGCTGGAATTTTATAACTGCAGACGCCCCACTGTGCATGAAAAATACAGGTGCATAATCTCCATGTGCAATTACACTGACTATGCACAGTTGTGACAACTTTTGTGTCTGCAGTTGCTGTGACTGCACATCCACGCAGGAATGAGAAATGGGATTGCATGTGTGAAAGTATCAAGATTCAGGGCCTAATTGGCTCCATTTACAAGTCAAAAATTGATTTTTCCAAACTCTGCCTGGTCCTGAAAATCCAGCTGGGTTCTTTATTCCATCGTCACCAGTAACAAAGGTGCTGTGCTTGGAATGTAGTGATAGTGCAGGGGACGCTATATGAGGCCAAATAGAACCCAGCTCACTCTCCATCACTGAACCACGGTGGCTCTCAGGCTTTGACTACTGGAGAGTCATCCGTCGGGGTGGCGGAGAGTCATCAGATAGATGAGTCGCAATTCTTACGTCGTGAACGTGCCTCAAGCGGTGGTGACCCTGCATCGTGATGTGATGTCACCACATAGACTGATGCAATGTGAGAAAGCCGAGGGTCTAATGCAGTGGTGCCAAACTTTTCCTGTCACGCCACCCCTTACCAGTAATGGAAGCTGTCTGCATCCCCCCCCCATTACTGCACAGTTGGCTCAGCAGAGGAGTTTGGGTTGAAAGCAGCGCTGTAGGATGAACTGGGTATGGGGGAGGAGCTGGGGCTAGAGGCGGAGCTGGGCTGGGAGTGGAGCAGAGGACAGAGTTGAGCTGGGCTGGGGCTGGAGCTGGGCTGGGGACGGTGTAGGAGGCAGAGTGGAGCTGGGCTGGAGGTAGAGAGGGAATGAGGGCAAAGCTGGGCTGGAGGCGGAGATGGGCTGGGGGCAGAGTGGAGCTGGGACTGGAGCTGTGCTGGGGGTAGAGCGGGGACCACTGGTCTAATGCCTTTCTTTCCTTTCTGGTCAGTGGGCTTGGCAGGTGAGTGGCGCTTTGGGTCTGTGGAGATGTAGAGACATGAATGGCCATCGTTGCCATGAGGGGTCTCCAGGGCTAAGAGAGAACCGTGTTTGTATTAGAATCAGCCTATAATGACGAGGAGGCACTCTGGGGTCAGAGCCATTGAATAAAAAGGGCCACTTTTACAGTCACATTTCTGACCTTACCGGCGCTTTAAAGGAAAGCACAGCGTTTAATGCCTAGGAGAGTGAGTGGCTCTGCTTGGAAATCACTACATCTCCGGATGTGTGCCTGAGATGAGCAGATTCCTGAAAGTTTTGTGTCCGTTGCCTCTACCTCTCTTAGTGAGACAGGCCCCAGGAGCAGAAACCCAATGTAAGGGCTAACGAATTGCCCATAGTAATGTCCTTTTACAGCTGTCGATGGTATTGAAAAATTATTATTGTATGGACTGTATCTGATTTCTGTGGTCCTGGCCTGTCTCATTCCTAAATTAATACCTGTGAATAGAGAGCAGGACACAGCCAGCACCCCACCAGCGGGCCCCCATCCCACGGCTAACGAATGGGTCACACTTCACAATCAGGGTCAATACCTTACGTAGGGTTAACAAAGCATTCATAGACCTTGGACTAAATGGTTGACCAATTGTTAGAGTCCAACAGGTCAGTAGGTTGCTAATGACCATGGCTTAAAACCATCTGTGTATAAAACACCTTCTAATGTTGTGCTTATAACAACCTATATAACACATAATACTCAGATCTGTAACATAATTCTGACATCTATCAATCCTTTGTATGCAAACCATTTATAAATGTACCCTTAGTATAAAGTGTACCCAAAGAAGGCATATCCTATCCATCCCATTTCTAATGCACCAATGACTGTGGAATCTGGGAATCAGAGATCCTCAGATATAGGCATTTCTACCATGTTCATCACTGTGTTATCTGAGTGCTTATAATCATAGAAATGTAGGGCTAGAAGGGACCTCAAGAGGTCATCTAATGCATCCCCCTGAGCTGAGGCAGGATTAAGTATACCTAGACCATCCCTGACTGGTGTTTGTCTATCCTGGTCTTAAAAACATCCATTGGGATTCCACAAAAATTCCCTAAGCAACCTAATCTTATACATTATGAATGTTATTGACTACATCTGGCCCTCTAAGGGTAGAATATGGAAGGTCCAATTAGGAGCCTTAAAGGAGAAGTTTTCTCTCCTCTAACCCTTAAAGGACCAGCTGTAGTTATTTCCCAGGAAAACTGCTGGGGCATCTCACCAGGTCGATAACACTCTCTTCAGTAAATGGAGGCAGGATGCTCTGCCTCTCTTGCTCCCATGTACACCTTGTAACCGCACCCATTCCTTCTTTCCCCCTTCGATCCAGGTGGCCAACCTGCTGCGACTCTTCCAGATCCCGCAGATCAGCTATGCCTCCACCAGCGCCAAGCTCAGTGACAAGTCTCGCTACGACTACTTTGCCCGCACCGTCCCGCCAGACTTCTACCAGGCTAAGGCCATGGCCGAGATCCTGCGCTTCTTTAACTGGACCTATGTCTCCACAGTGGCCTCGGAGGGTGACTACGGCGAGACTGGCATTGAGGCCTTCGAGCTGGAAGCCCGGGCCCGCAACATCTGCATCGCCACCTCCGAGAAGGTGGGGCGCTCCATGAACAAGAAGACCTTTGACGGAGTGATCAAGGCCCTCCTGCAGAAGCCTAGCGCTAGGGTGGTGGTGCTGTTCACCCGCAGCGAAGATGCCCGGGAGCTACTGGCAGCTGCGCAGAGAATCAATGTCTCCTTCATGTGGGTAGCCAGCGATGGCTGGGGTGCCCTGGAAAGTGTGGTGGCGGGAAGTGAGTTGGTGGCGGAGGGGGCCATCACCATTGAACTGGCGGCCTACCCCATCCAGGAGTTTGCCATCTATTTCCGGAATCTCAACCCCTACAACAACAGCCGGAACCCCTGGTTCCGGGAGTTCTGGGAGCACAAGTTCCAGTGCAGCTTCCATACCCAGGACTGCAGCCGGCACTCGCTGAAGACGGGCAAGTTCGAGCAGGAGTCCAAGATCATGTTTGTGGTCAATGCTGTTTATGCCATGGCCCACTCCCTCCATAACATGCACCAGGCATTGTGCCCCAATGCCACCAAGCTGTGTGACTCCATGAAGCCAGTTAATGGCAAGAGGTTCTACAGGGACTTCATGCTCAATGTCAAGTTTGATGGTAAGCCCAGGGCCTCAAAAGGGATTGGTGGCTGAACTGAAGGGGTTGGGATGGAACGGGCAAGGGAAATCAGGGCTTAACTAGGAGTACTCAAAGTCTGGAGATTTCAACTGGTCACCTCTGAGCCAGACAAGCCAAACTTGCTGAGCACACTGGGTCTGTGATTCCTCACATGATGAGGTCCTTGCCCAGAGTCCTTTGGCCCAGGAGTTCACACGCTTCTCCTACCTCTTGATGATGGTCTCTGCCAGGCTGGTGGCATGAAACCGCTGCATCAGGTGTCATGATAACGTTGCACCGGGACACAAACATTGCTGCACGAGGGCGTAGTTAGGGTCTCAGGTTTCAGATTGGTTGAACGTTGTGTTTGAACGTTGTGTTGGGTTCAGCTTCTTCTAATTTTCTGAAGAATGACTAACTGGAAGGGTTATGAGACCATTTTCTTCAGCTGACCATCAGCTTCCCAGGCACCTTGGGCCGGTGCCACCTCCATTATTCCTTTCAATAATCTGTTTGAGTTTTTAATATTCAGCACCAAAATATTTGTAGTAGCTGATCACATATTTTCCTACCAGCTCTGCTGTTCCTCTGGGACATCTGTCTGAACAATCAGTTCCAACAGCAGTTCTGCTAGGCCAGGTGAGCCTGGAGAATTGGCCAGTCACAACTCTTCTTCCTTAGATTCAGCATTCTTGTCAGGGGCAGAGCAGTCAGATATAAGTCAAAGCAATTTAAAACCGTTCAGAGGCTTTATTCTGACGAGACTACATTGTATTGACCCCGTGTACAGCGGAGTCTTACCCCTGATGTATCATTTGTAAGAAACTCTGGAACACTGGTTTAAGATGTCACAGAAACAATGAGGACTCAGTCTATTCCAGTCTATTCTCCTTTGCGTTCTGGGTTTTATTCAGTCACAGGCAGCTAGGAGAAAATGGTGCTCTCTACAGGACTGACCTGCTCCTGAGATGGGCATTATACTGGCACACCGTGAAGGCCTGCGCTTGCTGGATGGAGGAGCCATCCAAGTGTTCTCCTCCAGGCCAAACTCATTAGATACCTGGTAGGATGATTATCACTCTATCAATTATCCAGCCTCCATCACTGTCATATCTGGCAGCATACAGCCCTTACTATAGCTCTCCTCACCACATCCCGGTGAGATAAGGAGGAGCCCATGTGTGACGGGTTCAGTCACAGAGACCCCTTGGGACTGTCACCTGATGTGCTGAAATTACGTCTGAGCCCATTTTCCCTGCTAGCTTGGGACTTCCAGAACCCTGCCTTGTTAAGTCAGACCCGCTAGCCTGCTGCAACACAGACCCAGGGTCTGGACCATGCTCCCAAAGCTGCAGACTTAACTGAAAATAGCTTAGCAGGTTACCTGTCTCCAGCACCCAGACACCCAGTTCCCAATGGGATCCAAACCCCAAATAAATCTGTTTTACTCGGTATAAAGCATATACAGGTAAATTCTTAAATTGTTCACCCTCTAAAATACTGACAGAGAGATATGCACAGCTGTTTGTTCCCCCAGATATTGATCACTTACTCTGGGTTTATAAATAAACAAAAGTGATTTTATTAAGTATAAAAAGTAGGATTTAAGTGGTTTCAAGTAAAAACAGACAGAACAAAGTAAGTCACCAAGCAAAATAAAGCTAAACATGCAAGTCTAAGCCTAATACATTAAGACACTGATTACAAGTAATATCTCACCCTCAGAGATGTTCCAGTACGCTTCTTTCACAGGCTAGACTCCTTCCTAGTCTGGGCCCAATCCTTTCCCCTGGTACAGTACTTGTTAGTTTCAGATGACATCTCAGGTGGTAAGCAGGGGTTTTCTTATGACTGGCAGCCCCTTTTGTCCTGCTCCACCCCCTTTTATAGCTTTGACACAAGGTGGGAATCTTTTGTCTGTGCTTGTCCCCACCCCGCCACATCAATGGAAAAGTACAAGGGTTAAGATGGAGTCCAGTATTATGTGACATGATCACATGTCACTATAAGACCCCTAGTCTCCATTCTTCCTGGGTTGGCCCACACTGTACACAGGAAGGTTTGCAGATAAATAAACCATTTACAACCAATTGTCTGGGTCAATGGGAGTCATCAAGATTCTAAACCACCATTAATGGCCCACACTTTGCATAATTACAATAGGACCTCCGAGTTATGCTTCATATTTCTAGCTTCAGATACAAGAATGATACATGCATACAAATAGAAGGAATATATTCAGTAGGTTATAACCTTTGTTATGATAGCTTACAAGGGACCTTTTGCACAAAGCATATTCCAGTTACAACATATTCACACTCATAAGCATATTTCCATAAAACGCATGGAGTGCAACATCACACCATGCATCTCCACATAGTGAAATCCTTGCTGATCTTAAACACAAAAAAGAAGCTTACAAGAAGTGGAAGACTGGATAAAATGACCAGGGAAGAGTATAAAGATATTACTCAGGCATGCAGGAGTGAAATCAGGAAGGCCAAATCACACTTGGAGTTGCAGCTAGCAAGAGATGTTAAGAGTAACAAGAAGGGTTTCTTCAGGTATGTTAGCAATAAGAAGAAAGTCAAGGAAAGTGTGGGCCCCTTACTGAATGAGGCAGGCAACCTAGTGACAGAGGATGTGGAAAAAGCTAATGTACTCAATGCTTTTTTTGCCTCTGTCTTCACGAACAAGGTCAGCTCCCAGACTACTGCACTGGGCAGCACAGCATGGGGAGGAGGTGACCAGCCCCCTGTGGAGAAAGAAGTGGTTTGGGACTATTTAGAAAAGCTGGACGAGCACAAGTCCCTGGGGCCGGATGCACTGCATCCGAGAGTACTAAAGGAGTTGGCGGATGTGATTGCAGAGCCATTGGCCATTATCTTTGAAAACTCATGGCAATCGGGGGAGGGCCCGGATGAATGGAAAAAAGCTAATGTAGTGCCCATCTTTAAAAAAAGGAAGGAGGAGGATCCTGGGAACTACAGGCCAGTCAGCCTCACCTCAGTCCCTGGAAAAATCATGGAGCAGGTCCTCAAGGAGTCAATTCTGAAGCACTTAGAGGAAAGGAAAGTGATCAGGAACAGTCAGCATGGATTCACCAAGGGCAAGTCATGGCTGACTAATCTAACTGCCTTCTATGATGAAATAACTGACTCTATGGATGAGGGGAAAGCAGTGGACGTGTTATTCCTTGACTTTAGCAAAGCTTTTGACACTGTCTCCCACAGTATTCTTGCCAGCAAGTTAATGAAGTATGGGCTGGATGAATGGACTATAAAGTGGATAGAAAGCTGGCTAGATTGTCAGGCTCAATGGGTAGTGATCAATGGCTCCATGTCTAGTTGGCAGCCGGTATCAAGCAGAGTGCCCCAAGGGTCGGTCCTGGGGCCGGTTTTGTTCAATATCTTTATTAATGATCCGGAGGATGGCGTGGATTGCACCCTCAGCAAGTTTGCAGATGACACTAAACTGGGAGGAGTGGTAGATACACTGGAGGGTAGGGATAGGACACAGAGGGACTGAGACAAATTAGAGGATTGGGCCAAAAGAAATCTGATGAGGTTCAACAAGGACAAGTGCAGAATCCTGCACTTAGGACGGAAGAATCCCATGCACCGCTACAGACTAGGGACCGAATGGGTAGGCAGCAGTTCTGCAGAAAAGGACTTAGAGGTTACAGTGGACGAGAAGCTGGATATGAGTCAACAGTGTGCCCTTGTTGCCAAGAAGGCCAATGGCATTTTGGGCTGTATAAGTAGGGGCATTGCCAGCAGATCAAGGGACGTGATTGTTCCCCTCTATTCAACATCGGTGAGGCCTCATCTGGAGTACTGTGTCCAGTTTTGGGCCCCACACTACAAGAAGGATGTGGAAAAATTGGAAAGCATCCAGCGGAGGGCAACAAAAATGATTAGGGGTCTGGAACACATGACTTATGTGGAGAGGCTGAGGGAACTGGGATTGTTTCATCTGCAGAAGAGAAGAATGAGGGGGGATTTGATAGCTGCTTTCAACTACCTGAAGGGGGGTTCGAAAGAGGATGGAGCTAGGCTGTTCTCAGTGATAGCAGATGACAGAACAAGGAGTAATGGTCTCAAGTTGCAGTGGGGGAGGTTTAGGTTGGATATTAGGAAAAACTTTTTCACTAGTAGGGTGGTGAAGCACTGGAATGGGTTACTTAGGGAGGTGGTGGAATCTTCTTCCTTTGAAGTTTTTAAGTTCAGGCTTGACAAAGCCCTGGTTGGGATGATTTAGTTGGGGATTGGTCCCACTTTGAGCAGGGGGTTGGACTAGATGACCTCCTGAGGTCCCTTTCAACCCTGATATTCTAGGATTCTATAGTCCTGAGGGTGCTAGGCATGGCTGGAAGGTTGGCATATCAGCCACTAGTTGTCCTGAGTTTATTCTCAAGACACGTTGCTCCATGTAATCTTCCATCCGTGTTCAGGGGCCAGTTCTCAGGTATACTGGTGTGGGCAGCAACAGCTCCGTGAGTCCACCCCCTCTCCAGCTAGAGCAGAGCTGGATACATCAGCCCTGCTCCCAGCCCCAGCATAGGGGACAGGTTGGGCGCAGATCAGGGGCATGGCTAGTCTCTGCTTCCCAGGGCCCAGTCTGGTGTCAGTGGAGCTGCTGTCCAGCATAACTAGGGCACAGTTCCCCTCTCAGTAATCTTATGAAGAGTAACGGGAGCAGGCTTGCCAGAGAACCTGTATATACTTCATCTCCCAGCTTGGCAATCAAGAGACCACATAGCGGGAGAGAGATTGCAGACTTACCTATATTTGATTTCATATATAAGCAGCCTTGGGCTGTCAGGCTTATGTCGGGGAAGTTAGTGCTGCTTAGATGAATGTACTGTATTATCAGTCTCCTTGGGGAGGAATCTCATGGAGATAAATGTACTATTTTCATGTGACGTGTTTAATACCAACTTGAGATAACAGCAGAGGTTGGGGAGTGAACTGATTGTCAAGTTGAAAGGATGTACTTAAGCGAAAAGGAATATGCATGTTATTGTTAGGTACTATAATATTATAAAGGGGTGAATATAAAACCAAGGCACGTTGGGGGGAAAAGTCGTTGAATATTTGCTCAAATCTGAAAGTGAATTTGGATTTATGTGTGTTTGTGACCCTTTTGTGTCCCCATTCTGGTAACATCTGAGTGCTCCTTTACTAGTGCAAATACAGGAAGTAAATTTTAGCTTGAAGGCTGGAGCAGTCGCTGAAAACAAATTCCAGGTGGTATATGCAGTTGTAAAATTAACAATGTGCAATTCATATTGTCTTTGGTTAATAAGTCATGTGGCATAGTATATGTTCCCTGATTGGACAGTTTATGTAACTGACCAACAGCATGAAATGTGAATATTCAAATGTTCGCAATATAACTTCCATATCTAGCTTTAGTTACAGACTCATAAATTAGTGACATAACTTTACAAATTGCACATTACAGATTACATTGCCGCATTTGTAAATTGTGCAACCTACAGGCTAAGAACTATTTGCTGAAGGAAAATTGTGAATGGTTCTGAAAATATATAGCTTTGATAATGTTGGGATTTATTCGTGGACAGAAAAGGAAGTCAATTTGTTTGAAGAAATTACTTGTGAATTATTTGCTCAGCTCAAATCAGACATGCCATTGTGGCTTTGCAGTATGGTGGGGAAATGAGATTGTTAACTCAAATACATTAATTAACATGTTAAACATCACTTAGCATTTAGTGTGGGCAAAGGCAGAGATTTAGTTGGTTGAGGATATTGTGTGATCTAATTGTTACCCTTCTGCCAGGTGGAGCCAGCAGCAACAAGGGCTGGGTTCAGTATCTAGGGGTTCCTTTTCAACAATACAATACAAACTGGCTTGAGCCCCCACCCAGTGACCTGGGACAATTACACACCACCCCCTGGGCACCTCTAGGAGGCAATACATCCCCTCTCACAAACACAGAGTCTGAGTGTAGCAAAATAAAAGGAGGGAATTAACTCAGCATTAATTTGGGAAAACACCTCAACTAGGGTTCATAAACACAAACCATGAGCAAAAGACCCACCCCCAAGTAAGTTGGGCAGTGTCCTTTTCCCCTCAGGATCTTAAGTCCAGCAACCCAAGAGTCCCTTTAACATGCCCGTCCCTTCTCTGTACCCCAGTCACAGTTGCTGTCCTTGGCCAGTGCAGCCCCAGAGTTCAGAGGTTCATCCACAGAGTTCACCTCCCACCCTGTGTGGAAGGCAAAGGGGGTAAGGAGGCACCTTACACGCTGCACTGCTTGGGCACTCGCTCGTTGTCCCAGCGGCCGATTGCCACACCTGTGTGGAGCTCTGCTCTGGCCCTCTCCACCAGCTTCTCTGCTGGCCATTTGCCACGCCTCTCCACCAGCCGGCCTGCTGGTCGCACCTCTCCATCAGCCGCCCTGCTAGCCACTTACCACACCTCTCTGCCAGCTGCCAACTCACCAAGATGTCTTCAGATCCCCCCCACACACACTTAACACAGCTCTCAGTGATTTCAGCTGTTAGTGGGGGAGCCTCACTGCTGGTGTACACTGGGCAGTCTCTTGCAATAGAGACACTGTCCCAAAGTACGTCTAATACCTAGGTATCAGTGCTTTTCAGCTCTGCAGTGTGTAAAAAAACTCTCAATTGAGTCTAAATTAGATCTTTTATTATACCATGGAGAGAGGAAGGGTCAAATGGTGTCTAGGACACTTAACCAGGACTCACCCCATCAGGTACAAGCACCTAACCCCATCCTCACTCAACTCATTGGGCTTTGGAACCCAGGTTCCCTGCCTAGCGAGTGCTGTTCAGTTGAGGTTGAGTCCCTCCATCAGGGTATGCCAGGTACAGTTCTGCTGCCCTCAGTTCACACAACAAGGATAACAACCCTTCATTACTCCTGCCCCAATAACAAGGAGACTGGGGATCCAACACCAGCCACGAGTGATCATTTGGGCAAGCAGTCCCATTATGCTGAGCACCTAGGCAGGGTGGATGTGTCCATGCAAACAAGATCAGCTTGTGAAGTCTTTTTCCACAGCTCACCACTCGATATCAGGGGAGAGCTCATCCAGACTCTGCTTACATCATTAACAACTTCTAAAATGTTGGTCAAGGCAAAGCAAGTTGTGCTTTAGCACACCCAGAAGTGAGGTTGGGCTCCCGCATAGGTGACACCTACACTTGGAGCTAGGTGTCCCCCACACTTATGCTGGCGCTGATCGAGGTAGTGCACTAAAAATACAAGTGAAGCCATGGTAGCATGTGCAGTGGTGAGCGGTAGCATGGGCTAAGCTGTCACTTGGCCCCCATTGGTATGTACTCAGGGAGGCTAGCCCGGTGCCACTTATTGCTGCTGCCCATGCCACCATGGCTATACTTGTATTTTTAGCACACTAGTTCAATAAGAGCTGCCGTGAGTATGTCTACGCAAGCTGCAAATCACACTGCCAGCGCCCCGTGCAGATATAGCCACAGTCCCTATTGGGACCTACTAACTCATGTTAAAACTACACACTGACTTATCTTCACTAGAATCTTACCTCCTATTAATGACCACATGAGGTACTAAGGACACACCTTTTATCCCAGTGAAGATGCACCCTAAAGTTTCCTTCTCCTCATTAACGCATCCATGTAGCACATGCTAAAGTGCTACTCCCTTTGTCTTGCCTCAGGGTTTGGAAGATATTAATTAGGATAGGTCTGCGTGGCAATCACAGGGTGTGATGGCAGCTGGTGCAGACAGCCCTGAGCTAGCTTTGCTCTAGCTAGTTGGAGTATCGGGAGCAGTGAGTCTGGATAACATGAACTCACAGCACTCTTTTAAATCCTAGTCTAAACACGCCCCCTGAGGGAGGGTGGACGAAATGTGCCACGTTCCAATCTGTTGAGCATGAAACCCACTGGAAAAAAGCCCAACTTTCCTGTTCATTGAATCTCTCGTCCTTTTCCTCCTCACCCAGCTCCATTCAGGCCAGCAGACACCAAAGGCATCGTTCGATTTGATCGCTATGGTGATGGAATCGGTCGTTACAATATCTTCAACTACCACAGAGCGGATGGGAGATATAGATACCAGAAGGTGGGCTACTGGGCAGAAGGGCTTATCCTGAACACCACCCTCATCCCCTGGGTGAAGACCTCTGTTCCTGTGTCCCAGTGCAGCGACCCCTGCAAGAAAAATGAAATGAAGAGCATGCAACCGGGGGACATGTGCTGCTGGATATGCATCCCATGCCAGCCTTACGAATACCTGCTGGATGAATTCACCTGCATGGACTGTGGTCTAGGGTACTGGCCCAATGGTACCCTGAATGGCTGCTATGAGCTACCACAAGAATACATCCGCTGGAAAGACGTTTGGGCCATTGGGCCAGTTACGATCTCTTGCTTGGGTTTCCTCTCCACCCTCTTTGTCTTTGGGGTCTTCATTAAGAACAATGACACTCCCATTGTGAAGGCCTCAGGCCGCGAACTCTGCTACATCCTCCTCACTGGGGTCCTGATGTGCTACAGCATGACTTTCATCTTCATTGCAAAGCCCTCCACCGAGGTCTGCACCCTGCGGCGCTTGGGGCTTGGAACCTCCTTTGCGGTCTGCTACTCCGCCCTCTTGACCAAGACCAACCGGATCGCTCGGATCTTCAGTGGGGTGAAGGAAGGGGTCCAGCGCCTGCGCTTCATAAGCCCCACCTCACAGGTGGTCATCTGCATGGCCCTCATCTCCTGCCAGATGATCATCGTCATCATCTGGCTCATGGTGGAGACCCCCGGCACGGGGAAGGAGACGGAGCCTGACAAAAGGTACATTGTCACCCTCAAGTGCAACAACCGCGACTCCAGCATGCTCATTTCACTGACCTACAATGTGCTGTTGATCATCTTGTGTACAGTCTATGCCTTTAAGACCCGGAAATGCCCTGAAAACTTCAACGAGGCCAAGTTCATTGGATTCACCATGTACACCACGTGCATCATCTGGCTGGCCTTCCTGCCCATCTTCTATGTGACCTCCACCGACTACCGTGTAAGTGATCCCTGCTGAGCAGAGTAGGGAACGGGAGGCCAGCAGCCTGGCTAAGTCCACTGGATTCCAGGGTCCTGCTCCTTGTTCAGTGGAGCTGGAGGTAGAGGGTTGAGGGTAGGTCCTGGACACTAGAAGACCAGCCTGCAGTTGGGAAAGCTGCCTGTGCAGATGAACAGAAGGGCAGTTGTCATAATTAAATTAGATCTGAGGACACTCTGGATTGTGGTTAAATACAGCATAGCAGGCCGCTAAGGGAAAGGAAGAAGGGAGTGTGTCTCTGAGGGAGGCAAATGGGAGAAAACCCCCCCCCCCCCCCCCCAAAAAAAAAAAAACCCCCCCACCCCCCCCCCCCCCCCCCCCCCCCCCACCCCCAAAAGGAAAAAAAAAAAAAAACCAAAACCACCCCCCCCCCCCCACCCCCAAAACAAAAAAAAAAAAAAAAAAAAAAAAGACCCCCCAGGCCGGGGGGGGGGGGGCAGCCCCCCCCCCCCCCCCCTCCTTAAAAAACCACACCACCCCCCCCACCCCCCCGGCCCCGCCCGCCCGGCCCCCCAAAAAAAAAAAAAAAAGACAACAACCACCCAAAGCCGCCCCCCCCCCCCCCCCGCCGGGGCCGGACGCCCCGCGCCCCGGCCCGGGGCCCGGGCCCCCGAGCAAACCAAAAACCCCCAACCCACCACCCCCCCCAGGGCGGGCCCCCCCCCCCCCCCCCCGCGGGCGCGCCCAGGGGGGGGGGAGGGGGGGAGCGAAAAAAGAAGAAAGAAAGAAAGAAAAAAGAGAAGAATTTAGTTCATCCCCCTCCCCTCCCCCCACCCTTCCTCCCCCACCCAGCAAGGGGGCCCCCCACCCCCTTGGCCTTCTTCTTTGTCACAAAACCAAAAAAACCCCTTGTTCCCCTTGTCATCCCCTCCTGGCCGCGGCCGCCGGAGGGGGGGGGGGCCCCCGCCAAGATAACACCCCCACACGCCCTAAAAATATTTTTATTCCCCTCCTGGTATATCGACCACCCCCCTCCTTGTGGGAGGCTTTTTTTTTTTGTAAAAACCGGAAAATTTCCCAATAAAACCAAGGGGGCCCCCCGCCATTTTTATTTTTTTTTCAAATAGAACATGGCTGGTAGAACATAATGCAGGCAAGTTCTGTGCAGGTTCCTTGCTATTCCAGTCCTGGGCCTCCATACCTGACTGCGAATAAATCCTGATCCTGACCTGCTGCCTCCCTGCTATTTCAGCCCTGGGCCCCACACACAACCCTGCCAATGCCCTCCAGCCTGACCTGCCGCCCCCCTGCTATTCCAGCCCTAGGCTCCACCCCAGCGCTGCCAATGACCCTCCATCCTGCCCTACTACCCCACTACTATTCCAGCCCATGGCCCCACACACAGCCCTGCCAGACTGCCCTGCCAGCCCCTCCAGACTGCCCTGCCCCTACCCCCAATGCCAATGGTGGTTGGCCTTGTGCAGGACTCAGGGACCAGACCAAGACCAACACATTGGTTCCTCCTTTATTTGTTAATCTAAATGCTCATTAACCAGAGTCATCATTCAAGGGGGCTGATTTTCCAGCAGAAATTGCAAACCAGAAATCTAGAGGCTGAAAAAGCATGTCTGGAGAGGCTGTGCCAGACTTAGGCACCAAGTGACACCCAGGGAGCAAGGGGCACTCAATGTCTGAGAGACCCACATCTCCTAGCCCAGTTCCCCCTCTCCGGCAGCTCTGCAAATTCAAAGGCTGAGCCAGTGGGGAAACACAGCATTAGTCCCGCTCCTAGAATGGATTCTGCCTGAGAAGCGGGAAGTGTCTAACCCCATTACTGATCACTGGCTCATTGCTGTAGTCTCTGACCTACAGGAGCTGGTAGTCCCGGAAAACACTGAGGAAATGTGTTTGCTCTCGTATTTCTGTAGACAACCAGCAGCACCTAGTGGCAGCTGAGATGAACATTAGAGAGTTGTACAGTGCCTACGAGGTCCTGTCCGCCACTAGCCACTCTTCCGTAGAGAACAGTTTGAATGATGTACATTGGAGAAACACTTTATAATGCTGTTGCGTGGCAGGGAGGTCTAGTGTGCAGAGCAAGCGGCAGGGAGGCAGGAGACCAATGGCATTTTGGGCTGTATAAGTAGGGGCATTGCCAGCAGATCGAGGGATGTGATCGTTCCCCTCTATTCGACATTGGTGAGGCCTCATCTGGAGTACTGTGTCCAGTTTTGGGCCCCACACTACAAGAAGGATGTGGACAAATTGGAAAGAGTTCAGCGGAGGGTAACAAAAATGATTAGGGGACTGGAACACATGACTTATGAGGAGAGGCTGAGGGAACTGGGATTGTTTAGTCTGCGGAAGAGAAGAATGAGGGGGGATTTGATAGCTGCTTTCAACTACCTGAGAGGTGGTTCCAGAGAAGATGGTTCTAGACGATTCTCAGTGGTAGAAGAGGACAGAACAAGGAGTAATGGTCTCAAGTTGCTGTGGGGGAGGTTTAGGTTGGATATTAGGAAACACTATTTCACTAGGAGTGTGGTGAAGCACTGGAATGGGTTACTTAGGGAGGTGGTGGAATCTCCTTCCTTAGAGATTTTTAAGGTCAGGCTTGACAAAGCCCTGGCTGGGATGATTTAGTTGGGGATTGGTCCTGCTTTGAGCAGGGAGTTGGATTAGATGACCTCCTGAGGTCCCTTCCAAACCTGAGATTCTATGATTCTATGAGACCTGGCTTCTGATCCAAGTCATTTCTCCTGCCTATAGGAGGGGGGTAACGATACTGCCTTACCTTGATGGGGTGGGAGGTAGGCAGTGACGCTTTTTGAGAGACAGCATAACCAGCAATGTCTATCGCTAAGGTTGTCTGACCCCTTCTGTTACAAGACCCTGCTTTCAGTTGCTTGCAACTTTGCCAAACTTTAGCTCGCTGGGGTGAAATTTCCCATGCTGGACATCTGCCTCAGGCTGATTTTTTGGGGTGAAAGTTGCAGCAAAAAGGTTTCAGCTGTTCCCAAGACCGAGATGAGGAAAGATGGGCTGGCCTTGCTCTTGTTTAAAAAAACCCAGCACGTGCATTTTGCTCGGAAGTGTAGTGCCTCCATGCATTGATGCAGGGACTTGAAAAGGGGCAGGGAAGTCACTCCACTGTCACGGCTGTGCTTTTTTTGCCACTTCTGTGAATATTTGCTCAGATTTGGCCAAGTTATGAGCCTCTGAATATTTCAGTTTCCATTTGCTCAGCGAGTCCATCTGCGCTGAGCATGCTCCAGCCCAGGGCCTGAGCGGAGCAGGAATTGCTTTGCAAGCACCCTCCCGCTCCGATACAGGGGCTGCTGTCGGCTCAGGAGCAGAACTGAGAGCTGGGAACCCCCTCTCTCCTGTGCTCTTGGTGACACCAACCCACACTGGGCCCAGCAGTGAGGAGGAGAACTCAGACCACCTTTAAGGCAGAGGGATGACAAGCGGGTCCTGTGGGGAGAAGGGGGTGACGAGGGGGGGAAGCCGGGGCGTGATGCCAAGGAGAGGTGAGGAGGACTGGGACATGGAGCTGAGCAGGGGAAACTGGGATTGGGATAAGACTCAAGGGCGAGGCAGGAGGAAACTGAAGCTGGGACATGGTGCTGAGAGGGTGTGATGGAGACAGTTACTCCATTAACTCAAGAGGCCGAGGTCTGTGCAGTGAATCTAAAAGCTGCTGGTGATCCACCTGGGTGTCAATATGATTCCTTAGGATGGATTGTTTTTTCAGTTGGCTTTTTAAGAACACAAAAAGCTAAGTTAAAAGAAAATTAAGGTTGCAAAGTCAAGCACTCAGAAGTTACCATGCGCAACCTTAATTAGCCCCCCCGCCCCTCCCTGTGCATAGGCACTATGATGCTGACTTGACTGACAAGATCAGGTGCTAGTTTTTCCGCAGGACCCCGTCCCCATTCAGTGCACAGACTGGGCAGTGCTCAGGGAGTGAATCAGGGTCCTGTGGCTCATGTACCTATTGTCTTGAGGACCCTGCCTCATTTGTTGCAGAAATTGGAAGGCGGGTCATGAATGAAATGGGACAGTAGGAAGAGAAAGGGAGGCTTTGTGGTTGAAGCAGATGAATGGTGACATGGAGCATTGGAATCTATCCCTGCCTCTGCCACAGATATCCTGTGTGATGCTTGGCAAATCACTTAATCCAAACTCATCCCACGTGATCACTATTACTAATTGCACGGTCTGCATTTTCTTGGTGTCTGACTTGAGACCCTAGGATCTGAGCTGCAGAAATGCTGAGCACTCACAGCTGTGACTGAAGCCAAAGGGAGCTCAGCTCTGAACAAACGAAATGCTAAATTCTCTGAAAAAGCAGATCCCAGGCATATCAAATTGGGCACCAAAAATTAGTGGGTGCTTTTGACCTCACTATGTCTCTGTGTCTCAGTTCCTCAGCTATAAAATGGGGATAATAATATGCCCACATCTCCCAGGGCTGCTGTGATGATAAATTCAGTAATATTTGTGCATCACTCAGCTATTACAGCGATGAGACCCATAGAAAAGCCCATGCGGAAGCGAACAATTCTGTCTCCAGAGCAGGGTTTGGATAGTGTGTGCAGTAACTAAGAGTTGGGCCACACATTGAGCAGCGAGGATAAAACAAAACATTGCCGAACTGCTCATTAATTGAGCACCATCTGTCCTGTGCCCTCAGTGAGGAAAAAATACTATGTGAGCATGTAATTAGAGCCTATCATAATGCGTACGGTGGTTGAACTAAGGTTGCCCAGGCAACCTCAATTTTGGCATGTCCTAACTTCCGAGCGCTTGACTTTGCAGGTTTTCTGATGTAATATAATGCTACTTTCAGTGACATTTAGTGCAGGTGACAGTAAAAACCCTCCCTCTGCAGCAAGCAGCCTTTAATCTGGCATGGGCTTAGCATATATGCCATAAAAATCCAGACCAAAGGAGACGGGTTAAAACTGATGAACAGATGACAGGGGCTGAGGAAGATGTTCCTGAGATGACAGAGGGCCTTCTTGCGTGTGTGACCTCTCCAGAGCAGGGAGCGCCCTCCTTCCATGTTTGCAAAGCCCCAGGCGGGCAGGACTTTAAAGACTTGTCTTGGACTGTGGCACTTTGGGGAAGGCTCCGTGTTTTTGTTGCATGTTTGTATACAGTGGGGTCCTGTGGCTGGGTGCTACTGCAATACAGACCAGTAATAACAATAATCATTTTACAAGTACTCAAGTGAAACCAGGAACTCACAGGGGAAATCAGAATCATGCCCTTAAAATCCAACTTGCCATCCCTGGAAATCCTGGCCTAAATTGCACAGATTATTCACCATGGCCCCTGGAATAGAATGACATTCCTGCTTCTGGAATAACAATTGATCTACTGAAGCCTTCCTCTCTCCCCAGTGTCTGTGGGTGATCCGAAAGGTCCTGCCCTAGCTCCTCTGCTCCCCTGAATACACTCTGAGTATGATGATTCCCTGTTGATTTCAGGAGAGTTACTCTGGGGGAGAGGCAGACCCTCTGCTTTTACGTTACGGTATCCCTGGTGTCAACTGGCACCTCTACGGCCATGTCGACCTGAGTGAAAATGGGATGTTTTCCAATCATGTCTGCGCCATTCAATTCCCCTGGAAGACACTCGGAGCTGGTTGTTGCTGTAGCTTTGGGGTTCGTGTTATGGAGGGGCTCAGTTCTGCCCCTCCCTCCCCGAGAGCTCACCTTGAGTGGTTCTTGCTCCGTTTGTCCTGGGATAAAGCAATACTCGGGGCCACTCATGAGGACTGAATCAGGACCTTGGCGATTAGCACCAACAACATTGCCTAGGAATGTGTCAGGAGTAATTGCATAGCCCTGGCTTTCGGACCCTCCCTTCGCTCCCCACTAGCCAAAGGCTGCCAATGGTGCTCACGGCTGTGCTGCCTGACACCCTTCTGGAGAGAGGGTGCAACTTTGGATGCAGCTGTTGGGAGCTGCTAAACTTCTCGGTATGGCCATGACACTGCTGCTGCAGGAGCCCATGCAGGACTCCTCCTTAGTTTAGCATCAGTCCTGCAGAGCTGAGGTGCTAAGGGCTGGAGCACCAGGGTTAGCTGCCCCCTTCATCCCATTTTATGGAGGGTTGGCATTTCCCTGGAGAGCTTGCTACAATCAGGGCTCTCCTGTAAGCTGGGTGTCTTGGCTATGGAAGGATTTGCCAGCACTGTCTGGTTTCTTGTCTGTGCCCTTAGAGGATCGTGCAGGCAAAACTCCCACTGAAGGCAGAAAGAAGCAGGAGTGCAGGTTGCATGCAGCATGTGAAATGGGGCCTGTAGTTTGGGGAATGGAGGAACCCTTGCTATGCAGCAGACCTGCTTTGGTCCTGCTTTGAGCAGGGGGTTGGACTAGATGCCCTCCTGAGGTCCCTTCCAACCCTGAGATTCTATGATTCTAAGACTCCGATGTGTGGTAGCAGGAGGGGAACTCTTCGTACTCGGAGCATCAGCCGAGATTCAAAGGAGAACGCTGCAAGGGGTGCCAGCTTCGGACTGCCACACTTGGAGAGCTTGAAGCTGTTCTGCTGAACACCAGAGAGGATGAGTAAGCGAGAGCCCCCAGTTGAGCTTGGAGCAGTCACTTGCAGGCTTCGGGCTGGTGCGGAAATGAGCGACAGGTGGAAGCGAATGCTGCTGAAGGCTAGGGGAGTACGGGAGCTCAGGAGGCAGGTGGCAGCATCCCCGTATGCACTGGGGCATGTGACAAAGCCTCAGGCACATTTTCAAAACGAGAAAGAAACCTTTCGACAGTGGCCGGCTCAGCCTCCACCCACGCGGAGCTCAGGGGCTGCAACTGTCAGAGGCTAGTGTCCAGAGGACAGGGTAACATGGAAAAAGTTCAGGAAACCTGAGGTCCCTTAGATCATGGGGAGCTAAATCCACAGCTGGGGCTCGATCCTCCTAAGTGCTGAGCTGTCTGGTCCATCAAGGCGCTCAACACACACTTAACAACAGTAATAATTGCATCATCTGGGGAAGGCAGTGGGGCTAGTCTTGTGCTTACGGGCTTTGAAGAATCAACAGCTTTGCATGGCTTTAAGCACTAAGCAAAATTTGGTAGATTCATCTAAGCTCCACCTGGAGTTTTTGGAGCTGAAATTCAAGGTGAAACCAAAGGGCGGGTCAGGGTGTGTGTGTGTTTGTGCGCATATGAATGCATGCACACCACCCTCTTCTACCCAGTTCAACAGATCACAACCAATCGAGTTGTCTGCATGAAACTTTGCAAACCAAAATGGCTGCATCTGTCCTCTGCTGTACTGTGGGAGTATCTGTAGAGAGCTGGAGTTTGCATCTGTTTAGGATGTAGACAAGAGGCCGTGTCTCTCAGATCAGGCAAGAGTTTCAGTGAGATCAGGAGATGATAAGGGCTAACCACAAAGCTGAAGCTGGATCCAAACTCCTGCAGAGTTCAGCGTTGGGGCTTTGGTTCTGCCCAATTTCTGCTGGGGTGGGGAAAAAATAGAAACTATTCCAAGGAAGCTGGTGAGTGGATGTCCCCTCTGAACTTATGCCAGCTGTGCGGGGGTTTGCAGGATGTGTAGCCAGGGACAGTGCCTTCGGGCAGGTCAGACGCTAGGTGTGGCCTTTACTCAGTGGTGGGTTGGATCTGAGCACCACCCCGTCGTGTGTGTGTGGGTGGGTGAGTGGCTGGGTGTGTTTCACTCTGTCTCTCTGGGCTGATGTCTCCCATCTACTCCCCGCAGGTGCAGACCACCACCATGTGCATCTCCGTTAGCCTCAGTGGCACCGTGGTTCTCGGCTGCCTGTTCGCCCCCAAACTCCACATCATCCTCTTCCAGCCCCAGAAAAACGTCGTCAGCCTCCGCGTGGCCACCAACCGGTTCAGCGTGACTGCAGCAAGCTCCAGCCACTCGCACGGTGAGTGGCTGGCAGCCCCCCCGGCGCCACTCCCTGGTCTTTCCTGGGCCTGGAGCATGGTGCCTGTCCTCCTGGGATAGGGGTCCTGTCGCCAGAGGGCTGAATGCTGTGGGGGATGGGAGCACGGCCCGCTGACCCTGGGCACCAGCTCCCTTTGGAGAGCTTTGCAATTCAAATATCAGTGGCCAGTAGAATTGAAAATGTTACAAGCCATTGAGTGGCCCCCTCCCTGCACCCTCCCTGTAATGTCATACGCTTTGTGCGGCTGCTAATGCTGACATCTCCTGCATGTTTGGGGACATGCATGCCTCCCTGACGTGTAATAGCCACTGCCACCTCCCTGGGGGGAGGGGAATCTTTGCAGGGCAGGAGGGGATGGTCGCTGAGAGGCAGGGGCAGGCACCCCCAGTTTGTGGGCAGGGTGAGAGGGGGACATGCCCCGGAGGGAGGAGGGGACAGCCCCGGGGCATGGGCTCAGCAGCAGACTGTGCCCTCAGCCCCATGGCTGCATGTGGGGCTACAGCACCTGCTCCAGGGTGCTCTCTGAAGGCCATGGGGAAGACAGCAGGGTGCGCCAGGCAGCAATGGTGAGGCTGGGACCCAGGCCCAGCTGCTGTTCCATGATGCCTCTCTGTGTTCTTCCCCCACCAGGGTCGGCCTCTCAGTCCGTCCCCACAGTGTGTAACGGCCGCGAGGTCGTGGACTCCACGACCTCGTCCTTATGAAGCGCCCCGTGGCCCCATGGGCACGGGCATGGTCCCCAGCACAGAACCCCGCACGAAGGGGCAGGCCTTTTTCGTTCCCGTTGGGCCTTTTGTTTCTCAAAGCTGCACTCCCAGCTGCTCGCCGATGCTGTCTTGCTTGCTGGGCCAGCGTTCCCCAAGGAGAGGTGCTGTCACGTGAGAACTGGGTGCCCCCTTCTGCTGCCCTGCTCCCCCGGCGTCAGCTCAGAAAAACACAACCCTGCTGGGGCGGTCGTGATCGTACTGAATGGACCCACTGGGGCATGGAGGAACCATGCCCTCTCCCTGGGGAGCCAGCACTGAGCCAGGTGGATCCCCTGGCAGGTCCACCCTGTGTTACCTCTTGCTGGCCAGATTACCAGAGAGAGCAAAACCCAAGCATCTGTACCTCCCCACTTCTCTCTGCCCTGGAATAGGGTCAGGGGAAAGCCCACAGATTCCCACTGGCTGCTCCGATCTCCCCCTTCCCCTCCCCGCAAAGGAAGCAGGACCCTCCCCCCCTTGAAAGAGCAAATACCAAGGGGTCTAAGGTGCTATGGCTTGAAGAGAACAGACAGGCCCTTCTCAAAGACCACGCTGCCCAGCGACGCTGGGAAGGAATTCAGACTGAACTAGCCAGGGGGCTCGGGGCTGCTGCTGATTTTGCCAGGAGATCCCTGGTTGGAATGCGAGCCCCCTGCCTCCTCTGAGTTGAGAGAGACTCACTTTGAAATGGACAAACAGGTGCTTCCAAATCAGAGATTTCTGAGCAGAGAGCTCGCTGGGGCTGACCCCAGGAACCTGGGCTGAACCCATGATCCTCCTTCTGACGCATTACCTGACTTGGCTAGAGGGACTCTACCCAGGGTTGCCTCATGTGCGGGACTGTAGGGTTTTGTTTAGCAAGGACAGTTGGGGACGGGCACAGTGGCTAGCCAAGGAGCAGGGATAGGGTGAGGGGCCCCTGGGAACCGGGGTGAAGAGTGGCACAGGAGGGCTGCCCTGTCAGTGCCTGGTGTGGGACACTGACAGAGGAGGGTAGCAGGGGCCTGAAACAACTTCTACAAGTGGAGAAATGATGATGTATGAGAACAGAGGGAGAGACCTGAAAATAGGGGGCCAGCCAGACGCAGAGAGCGAGTGAGGATCCGGCAGCCTGCAGCTCTGGGGATGACTTCAGGGGAGCTGTGTGTCCTGCCCCGGGAGACTGGGCCTTTAGGGTGAATGAGTCCCACAACACAGAGAGCAGGGAGGAACCAACCCCCAACACATGCTTCAGGCCCGCTACCCGGGAGGGTGGGCGCAGCTGCTGCTCAGGGGGCGGGGGAGAGGGGGGCACGGCCTGCTGCTCCCCACTTCCACAGGGGTTTGCATCTGTTGTGTGCTGGAGCCATTGACCATGCAGCCTCGTGTCCAAAGGTGCTCCCCGCTCTTTGCCCCTACAGGCAGCAAGAAAACAACATTCCCACTGCATTAGGCTGCCCAAGGGGCCATTCCCCCAGAATGCCCGCATGCCCTTCCTGAGCGGCAGGATGGGGAGGGGTCGGTCTGATTCCATGGAGGGCCAGGTGCCTCAGATCACTCCCATTCCTGACCCCGCCGGGAGCAGCCTGACCATGACATCGCCCAGCAACCAAAGTTGCCCGAGTGCTGGTGCAGCAGCAAAAGCAGCAATAAACCATCTGGCTCTGTGCTTCACAGCTGCCAAACGCTCCGGCGGCAAAGCTGCTCCCCTGCTTTGCTGCAGTTTTCTTGGCACCTTCATCCACCGAGAGCCAGCAGGTGAGTGCAAAAGGTACCACTCTTGTCCAGAGCTGCTCGGAGCTTTTCAAACAGCGTCATTTTGCTCCCAAAATTGCCTGTTTTTGCTGTGATGCATAAATCGGCCCAAGAGACGTTTTTTTTTTAACAATGCTTTTCCCCCCCCAAAATTCAAAATATCAGGTCTCAATATTCTTGTTGTTGCTGGAAGACAACTAGTGACATTGCCAGAGCCTGGAAGAGGGGAAAGCAGGTTCAGTGAGGGTCTTTAAAACCCTTGTTATATTTATTGTAAGTCCCCACTTAATTCTAACCCCTGACAGACCCTTGGGAGAAAAACACTCTTTGTGAAAGGCTCAGCATGCCCCAACCTTTCAACTGAGGGCTGAGAAAGCTGCCATTCAGGTTCTCCATTCCTCCAAGGAGTTCTCCAGCAAAAACAGGGACATCATCATAATCCTGATTACTAATCATCAATATCCCACTCGTACCTGTCGGAAGACAGGATACTGGGCTAGATGGACTACTGGTCTGACCCAGTGTGGCCGTTCTTATATAGCTATTCTTGAGATTTGTAAGTGGAAAAAACAAGCAGAGACAAATCCTTACAGGTCTTCTTTATGTGTCAAAAAGAATCAAACCCAAAACATTAGAGCCCGTCGCAGATACAGAATTTGTATCCACATCTGATCCGTGATCCACAAAAATGGTTTGCAGGTATCCATGGATATGCAGGACTCTACAAAAAATCCCCCAGTTTTAATCTTTAAAGGAATACACTAAAGTACATTTCACACTGAATTATGTTACCCATTATGGTTACAAGTGACTCCTAGGATCAGCGTAAAGAATCAAAAATTGGTGTCTGTTTTTTTCAGTATGTTTCCTTTTTACATTTGACAGCACTTTGTGTAGAGTTCCCCTCCTTCCCCACCCCATATGTATAGTTATTTTCCTGTTGTTTGTGTGGGTCTTTCTCACAGCCCCAGGGAGACATTTAGAAGGAGGAAAATGGGATTTTTCAAAAGTCCCCAACCTTTGTGGAGGGACACAGGTAAATTACTTGTAACTATTTTTGTTACTCAGTTAGATTTCAAGTTGATGAGGTCCCTGGCATGATGAGGTGAGCACCTGCCCTCTTGCCCATTGGCTTGGATGGCTGAAATAGGACATGCAAGGCAGTGCTCAGAGGAGAGAGACAGGATGAAGTTATTGGCACAACAATTTGGATCCTTACTGAGAATTTGCTAGTGGTTAATTTCACAGCAATGGATCTTCTGCCTTTCAAATGCATTCAGATGCTGAGCTGCTCTTCCTGTGTCTCAAATGACATCATTAGCCAACACTTCCTGTTAGGAATTATCAGTATCAAGGCCCTGGCAGGCTGGGTAGTGCTAAAGAGGTCACACCAGTATTTTTCAGCTAATTGATGGAAAAATCCGTGTTTACTGTAGAACTATAGAAGTATTTAAACCAGGTGAGTTATTAGTTATTTAAGCAAACGTGCTGCTGCTCTCTCTTAAGAGTTTTCTGTGGGTCTCACCTTTTTTCACAGTAGCCCCATGATGTTGGTGCTAAGCGCTAGAATTCCAGTGTTCGTCGCTGTGCCCAGCCCTCAGCCGTGACACTGTGCCAATGTCCTGTCCTTCTGCCAATGCCCCTTCCCACCATACCATCCACTGCTCCAGCAGGACGCCTGTTAGCACCACGGCTCTTCCTGACGGCTGGACAGGCACTAGCAATTAGCCTCCTGCTCCACTGCTTCTAGTCACTAATCTCCCCCCACCGGGAGACAGCTGCGCATTCCTGCCTTCTCCCACTGTACCCGTAGCCACTGGCACTCGATGCAAGGGAGATCCTGAAAACCAAATGACAGGCTGGGCTGGGCAATATAACTCTGTATCTCGTGGTGTTTTTTTAATTTTTATAAACTATTTATTGGAAGGAGCCTTTTGGCTGGAGAGAAAACTATAATAATTAGCCGGCTGCTAATGAAAATGTACGTGTTCTTTGGCCCTTGACTAGGATTATTATCATTGTGACACATGTATTACAAGCCAAGCGAGTTTTTAAGCGTAGATCTTTTTGTGACCAAGTTTGTGGTTTTTGTAATTTATGTAAATAAAGTGCTTTTTTTTTTAACGGACGCCCGTAGGTGCCATGTGGGCCTCTCCCTGGAGTAGAAAGCAAGAGCTGGATGTCTGTGTCTTCTTGGCAGAACTGCATGGCTCCGGGGCCTGATTATGGAGTGGCAAGGTTCTGTGAGTCAGGCAATGTGGGGTCAGGGCCCTGCTGTGCCCCAGCCTGCGTGACACACCTTGGGCGAGTCACGTTATCGCTTTGTGCCTCAGTTCCTCGGGCACGGGGGGACCTGACACCCTTTGCCCTGTGGACGCTTCAGAGTATGGGCTGCCCAACAGGGCTCCCGGCCCAGCTGCCACCTCTCAGTGTCACCGTACTATGAACAACAATGCAAAGTGTTGCAGCACCAGGTCAGGTCAATCCTCTAGGCACTGAGGTGCCAGAAAGGGCAGGTTATGGGAGCCAGGCAGGAGGCCCTAGGCCTTCACTTTAAAAATCAAGGCAGCACCAAGCTTTTTCCTGGGGGTGAGAAAACAACTCAGTTGCTAAAGCAGAAAAGCAACGGTGGCCCACTGAATAGCTCTGGGCACTGGTTCTTGGGAGACCTGGGTTCTAATCCCGGCTCTGTCCCTGGCCTGCTGGCTGGTCTTGGACCTCAGTTTCCCCAGCTGTGAAATGAAGATAATGCTACTGAGCTGCGTAAAGGGCAAGGCAGTAGTATTCCGCAGCAGGGCAGGGGCTAATTATGAACTCTTCCCCTCACCTGCCCACACACACTTCCCTCCGCCAGAGCAGGGGAGGGAGGAGGCTAGGAAAGGGGATGGCAGCATACTAGGCATTTGGGCAGCTCACTTGCCAGTAGCAAGGGCCAGCTGTGCTTGTGGGAGCTTCAGCCCTCTGGGAGGCCAGGACTGATCCAGAACTGCCCTCCTGCATAGCCAGCTGCATAGGAGACACACACACCCCAGTTTCCATGAGCCAGACTCATGCAAAGCCAGTGACTTGCACTATGACCCCCTTCATGCTGACCAGCCCAATGCCTTAGCCAAGTATTACAGCCTGGCTGGCCCTTTAAGGGGAGGGCCTAGCAACCCTCCTGAGCTGGCAAATTAATTATAATTCGTGACAGAAACTGTCAAAGGGTCAGGCAAGAGAGAGACTCCCTCCAGAGCAAGCCAGCCAGCCCTCTGAGAGGAGGGAGGGTCCTCCCTCGGCTGGGGGAAGGCAGGCTCAAGTGGGCTCGAGGGCTGGAGCTAGGCCCTGAAAAGCAGAGTGAGGAGCTGGGAGAAGTCTGCAAGCCCGAGGTGAGGCTGTATTTACAGACCACTAGGCAAGCCCCTGGGGCTGTTTCCCATAGGAAGGGGCTCAGGGAAGCAGCAGCATGGCTAAAAGGAACAGCCTCGCTCTTAACACAGGGACCCTGGGCAGCACCCGAGCAGAGGGTGGGGTGAGGTTCCTGGGCCAGCCACCAGGAGGAGGTGTAACTGCCTCAGCACCAGCCTGGCAGAGATCAGGGAGGGAAGTGGTTGAGGGGCAGGAGTGCATGCTGGGATGTCTGGACTGTCAGCTGTACTTCTGTCACCCTATCTGGGTGTTGTCACAGATGGGCTGGGGTGGGGGGCTGCAGTAACAGAATCAGGCCATCCCCAGGCCACCGTACTGCTCAACAGAGGGCACTGGGGCAGAGCCCTAGCCTGGCACCAGGAGGTGCTAGTGATGATTCCCACTGCTTCCACCAGGGCTCTGCTTACCCCTAGCAGAGGGGCACCTGTGCACTTCCAGGCTGGAGGCCAAAGCCCTCGTCCCACCAAGTTTGATTTCACTCTCTTTAAAGGCAGCTTTCAGGTCCCAGCTTGCAACCCGCAGCCGTGAGATGCAACACCCCCCCCCTCCCCCCCACTGCCCTGGCAGCAGAGGCAGGCTGCTAAGCCCATGCTCATGCTAAAAGCAGTGACTTTTCCAAGCCAACCCCAGGGGAGGCAAGAGCTAGCTTGCTCCCCTGCTGGGGATGGAGGGAGAGGGGGAGAGGAGGTGGAAGCCACCCACACTGCATCTGTCAGCAGCCCCTTCCTCCCCTTCACCAGGGCCCTGGCTCATGGCTGTAAGCCTGGATGCAGGGAGCCCTTTCAGTGCTGTGCTGAGTCCTCACAGCAGAGGCTGCAGCTATAGCTCAAGGAAATCATTTCCCCTCTCCCTCCTTAGTTTTCCCTTCCCTAAAAGGATGCTAATATTTGCTTGTGGCCTACAGCTGCAAGGATGGAGCGAACTGAGCTACTGAACACTTGTGTGTGTTCCCTGAGGGCTGGCACTCCACAGCGGGCCCTGAACATCTGCCTGTCAAACTGGAGACAGCTAACTTTCTCTAATGAGCTTTCCTTGCTGCCCCACTATGCAAGGCACACAGCTGTCTTTCACATGTACAGCAGCCAGGGGCTGTGAGTAGCAGAGACAGCACAGTGGGACAGGGCTAGCTCCACTGGCAACTTGAAGCCAGCGTTTGGCTAAGGCAGGTAAAACCTCAGGCCAAGGCTGTGTCTGACCTGCGGCACGGCAAACACTAGGTCCTCAGTTAGTCTCTGCCAACCCAGACGTTGTGCTCAGTGACCCTCTAGCTCAGGCTGCGAGGAGGGATACCAGGGTTTGTTTTACTCTTATCACTGGTGTTCATTCCCCCAGGTGCAGTATGCAGGGAGGCCCAGCCCAGGTACAGTACCACCCCAGGCAGAGCCAGTGCAGCTGGGCAGACACAGCTGTTGTAAGAGCTGACGCACAGGAACAGAGCTGGCATAGGCGGCTGAGCTGAACTTATGCCTGAAGATCCAGGAGCAGAACTATTGCAATAAAAAAACCCCAACCCTAAGCTAGCACAGCCATCAGCTCTCAGATAATGAGAATAGCAGCCGAGAGCCCATGTAAGAGTAGCATGCAGGTAGTCAGTCACAGCTTTTAGGCAGTAGCCTGCAAGGCTTTAAGGACCAGCTCTGTTTAAAAGAGCAAAACACCTAGTGTCACAGCTGTGATCAAAATCTTAACTACAGGAGGTGGTTTTTAATGGTCCAGCTTTTCTAGCTTAGCACTAAACAGTCTAACCCCCACTGCAAGCTCCAGTTTGATCAAATGCAGAGTTTAGAGCTGCTCTTCTTGGAGACAGATCCCAGGTGGAAACAGACATGAAAGCACTTAATTCAGTCTCCGAGGCTGCGGCTGCAGTTAGCCCAGATGCATTTCAAAATGCCTCAAGTTTTGAGACAAAATGAGTGACACTTGAACTTTAGTACATGAGCAGCCATGAACAGTAGCTTCCAAACCTCCCTTGATGCCACCTACAACGGAGATCTACATCATCAGTCCAAAACTCTGCAGCACAGAGACCAAGGGAGAGCAAAAGAAAAACAAATCCACCCCCAGATTGATCAGAATGAGCTAGGGCTCATGCAGAGATTGCACGCTATGTTTCTGGAGTAGATGCATTCGAGGCCTGTCTCCTTGTTTGAATAAAGCCACTAGAGTCTCTCCAGATCTGATGCACAACCCGGGCCCCCCTGCAGAACTAAGGTCTGGATTCTTGTGGTGGAATCTACAGGGCTTTGATTATTCCGGACTTTCGGTGTGGGAAGTGCACGCACACAACCTGAGCAAGAACTTAGCCTGGGGGCTGGCAAACATCCCTGAGGCTAAGCAGGAAAGGGAAGAGAGAATCCTGGGCCCTGCCACAAGCTCCAACATCTGGTAGAGAAAGAATGCTTCATGGGATCTCGGCAGGCAGAGACAGGGCTGCCCCTTCCAAGGTGCCCTTGAAGGTCATGGGCCATTTGAGTGAGTGGCTCTGGCCTGTTCTTGAGAAGGGAGGGAGACAGACTGGGGCTGCCATGGCTTAGTCTGCATGTCCATTTCCCCCCCAACCCATCCCCTCCCCCACAAAAGCCAGGTCTCAGCTGCTCACACCTTTGGGACAGGTTCTGCCGCTGGCCTTTTGGGGGCAGGAGTAAGTTTTGTCCCGAAGATCCTCCCCCCTGCCACGCAGCTCTGACTGCGGAGTGAGGGGGGCTGGGCTTTTCTTCATTTCATAGGTGGCCCCTCCCTTTCCTCTGGTGCCCAGCCTGCAACTGGCCCCAGAGAGGACGTCCTCGCCTCTGCTTTCACTCCTGACAAAGCATCCAAGCCGTAGCCAGGCCAATGCAGACAGCAGGGTTTTACGCAGGGGGGTTGCTTTTAATGGGAAGTTTTAACTCGAGAGTCTCACCAAGCTCTAGCAGAGCCACGACCGCACGCAAGAGGGGAGCAGGGCTAGGAGCCATCAGCTGGCTGCGCGCGGCCAGCCGCCGACCTCTGCAGCGGGACGATGCAGATGCTGTTCTTGGCTTCTCTGATTCGCCACCAGCGGCCCAACCTGAACACGAGAGAGACGCTGAGCTTTCGGTTCCCCCACGCCCCAGCAAGAAAGCTGGGGGGAGGCTGAATGAGCCGCCTGATGCCAAGTCGAGCTCCCTCCTCCGAGGGTGCTGGTGCAGGCACTCGGTGCTCCATGCCGCTCTAGCGCCTCCTAGGGGCTCTTGGAGTGTTCTGCAGAGATCCAGTCTCCCAGCACCAGGGATGCACCCTCTCTGGCCTACAGGAGGGGAAGGTTTGTCTCCTTTTCCCCCAGGAGAAGGCGAGTCACGGGTAAGGCTGTCCTGGAGCAATGGCAGCAGGAGTTTCATACCAGTGCCAGCCAGGCTTTTGGAGGGTTAGTGCCATTTTCTGCCCTCCCCTCCTAGACAGCCCACTCCTCACATGCTTCACCCCAAAAGCTGCCCCTCCCCAGCATTTAATAGACCCTTCATCCCAGCTGAAGACAGAGTCTAATGCCAAATGTTGGATTTTTCCCAAGCCCCCAGCACAGGCTCCACCCCATCACCAGCTTTTCCAGACTGATGACCCTAACGGCTGGGAGAGGTCTGGCTGCTGGGGCTGGGGCTTGGGCCAGAGCCCCTGGACACCACACATAGCCTTTAGCTAGCAGCGAGGCCGGTACCTGTGTTCCTGTCCGATCCCAACAACCAGGAAATCCCCGGCATTCGAGAACTTCAAGCTGTTGACAAAGCCGATCTGAGAGAGAGAGGAAAAGGCATAAGGGCAGTACTGCAGGCTGGAGAGCTATTAGCCTGCGGGGACACTCGAGTGCAGGGCTCCCATTAGGGCAATGCAACTTTGATCAGGCCGAGAAGGGATTTAATCTCAGCAATTCACTGGCTTCACACACCAGATGGGAGGGAGCCCCTCTGGGTTTATTCCGGACTCCAGCCAAACCTGCACCCCCTCACCCCAGCCTGCACAGCGGGCTTGTTTGGGGAAGGGGAACCCAGCTGGAAGAGAAGAGGGAAATTCCCATCTCTGCTCAGCCCCAAGCGTTTGCTCCAGTGTGCCTTGCCTGCCGAGAGGGAGCCTTCCCGCCCACGCCCCTTCCTTACCAGGGGGATATCGAAGAGCGGCTCCAGCCTTCGGAATCCCTCGCCGCACTTCCACAGCCGCACACTGGCGCTGTGCGAGCCTGCGGTCACAGAGCAGAATGTGAGGGCCTCGGGCAGTCAGGCCCCGCACCTCCCCCGGGCCACGCTCGGCGCCGATGCAAGCTAGCATGGTCTCCCTCAGACCACGGCCCTGCTGGCATCCACAACTGGCGCCCCACACAGCCCCGCTCCCCCTCCCTCCACCCCACCAACCCAATGCGAAGCACAGAAGTTGAAGCTGCTGGCTGGGCAACTGGAGCAGCAAGCTGGCCTATTCCAGGGGAAACCACCATCCTGCCTGGGGTTAGGCGGCGGTGGATCCTCACTCTGGAGGAGTGAGTCAGGACCAGAGAGGAGAGTGACGCAGCAATCTCCTGCCATTGACACACGGGACAGCCTGGCCACAAGGCTGTGGCTCTCTGGAGAGACCCAGCCAATGTCCCCACAACCCCAGGCACAGTTACCTCTTGCTCCGAGCTTGCCAGTCACTTACTGTACGTGACATGGATCCAAGTTCAAACCAAGCCTCACCTCCCCCTCCCAGCCTGCCCCAAACCGCTCCCTTCCCATCGAAGCAGGACTTCCCCACTCCTCAGCTAGTTTCTAAGCCAGGATGGCAAACCTGAGAGTGCTGGGGTAGGAGTTGTAGGAGTGGCCTGGGCTAGCTGAGGGCAACATAGGGCCAGTTGTGGGTGAATTCCCCGGGGTTCCAGGAAAGCAGAGCCAGGTTTCCAGAAGAAGAGGGAAGTTAGGAGCCTGAGGAATGACCCATTCATGGCGCTTTCTGTCTGGGCCCCTCAGAGCACTGCAAACAGTAACCCAGTCCCATCCATGAGACAGGCATTGTCCCAGCTGTACAGAGTGCTGGCCCAAGCTACAGGGAGGATAAGAGCTGGGGAGGAAGCCGAGATCGCCCAGCTGCTGGGGCCCTGAAACGGACTGCATCCTTCCTCCCCGCCCCAGGCCCAAAGCAACAGCAAAAGCGAGGGTCTCACAGCGCGAGGCACCTGTGGCTACAATGTCACTGTTCAGCAGGGTGGCCACCGAGGAGATCCAGTATGGCTGCTCCAGGCCCTGGGTGCCGTGGTTACCATGCGCTTGCCTCACTGTCGTGAGCGGCTTCTTCTTCGAAAGACCCCAAAGGGCGACCGACCTATTGTGAGAGACGTGGAGCGGATGAGGCTACGCACGAGAGCCCAGGCCTGCAGCACCCTCAGCACATCTCCTGTGGGTTACTCACCCATCATCCGCGCCGGACACCATGTGCTCCTCGTTGATCAGCTGGATGCAGTCGATGGAGCCCCTAAGATGGGCAGAGGGAAGGAGGAGAGCGAGTTGTGCCTGTGGGTCCCCTGGGAAGTTATCCTGCAGGGTGCCAGAGCCCCAGAGGCAAGGGTAGCCCCAGAACTTGAGCTGAGCGCAGACCGGACTTCCAACACCACCTCTCAAAGGAGACGGCTGGTGGTGCTCAGCATGCTTCAGAACAGGCCTCCCTGGCAGCCCCTCACTGCAACAGGCAGCCCTCTAGAAGGGGAGTATTCCCTAGGTCACCTCCCAGGAGGGCACATTTCCCCTTTTTACTGCTCCCCGACTGGGATCTGGCATGAACACTCTGGACGAGGCCTCCTGCCGGCTGAGCTGCTTGCCCTGTGGCTCAGCCTGGCTGGCCTAGTTCCACGCCGCACCACTGTGATATGGGAGCTTGGTTGGAGCTGCTTCCAGGAGCTGCTGCAGGGAGGAGCGGTCCCATGCACCGTACAGTGCTGTGGATGGCCGACAGCCAGCGTTCCCCACCCAGCACGTCTGCATCACTCCTGCAGGCACTAGGCAAGGTAGCATGCGCCACCACCAGTTCAATGGATGTGGCCAATAACCACGCAAGAGGCAGGTGCTAGGAGGCCTCTGACAAGACACTGGGCTGCAGAGCCGAGGTAGAAGAGACCAGGGCTTGCAGGGCAGTTGCTGGCAGCCACCGGATGGGTATTACGCTTTGGCAGAAGAGCTGCCATGGAAGGTGAAGCGGGTTAAGCAGAGCAGACGCCCTGCAGCCCTCACCACCCTCTGCAGGGGCTGCTGCCCACACCTACTGGTGCCCGTAGAACACAAGCTGAGACTCCTCAGGGATCTTCCAGACCCGGACGGTGCCGTCTCGCCCGCCTGACGTGACACAGCACTCCCGGCTCAGGCTGTCCAGCCCCGTGATCGCATCTTGGTGCCCAAACCTGGAGTCGGGGGCAAACAGGGCAGAGGATGAGTCCCAATCTCAGTAACCCAGGGGGCCCAGCCTGGCACCTTCTACCTCCCTTCCCACCCAGGCTCTGCATTCTCAGCTGCGAGGGTCACCACCTCCCATCACTGCACAGCCGACGCCGATCACTGGTTCTCCTGGATGGGGGCTTGTGGCTACAGCCCACAAGGCCTCCACGCCCACAGAATACTTGGCCTCTCACCGGACACAGCTGGTAGAAGACGTGGGGACATCTCTCTCAGGTAACCACACTCAGCAAGAATGACTCAGGCCCTCAGGAGATTTCTGAGCTGCGGCCACATCACAGCTACTGATGCAATAGGAGGTTCCAGATCAGGTGAGCCTGACCACAATTGCCACCAAACTGAACAGGCTGCTTGGTAGGGCAGGGTAGGCTTGAGCAGAGACCATAGGACAGCTTGGGGGCCAAATGCATTGCTGGGCCAAGCCTGCTGGAGCCCCCTGCCCAGGAATCCCCGTCTTCCATCTCCAGGGTCACCCCAAAAGCCACATAACCCTCCCAGCTCAGCTGCCCATGCACCCCCTCAGTCTTCCTCGCTCTCCTGCCCCACGGCAAGGAGAAGTGGGTCCTCACAGCGTTTCCACGTAGGCGTTCTCTGCCACGTTCCAGACTTTGACGGAGCGATCGTGTGAGGCACTGTACAGCTGGTGAGTGCCCTTCTGGAACGACAGGCCCTGCATGGGGGGGGAGAGACGGGTGCTAAATACGGAAGAGTGGCTTTAATGCAGATCCAGAACTGCATTTGCCAAGGTGGCTACCCTAGGGAAAGGCTGTCCTGGAAACAGCCAAATTTCCCACCCTTCCCGAGCTCAGCACCTCCGAGGAAAGGCACTCGGCAAAGGGGGGAGAAGATTCCCATGGAGAAAGGGCTTCCTGTCTTTTAGGCAGAGCCTCCATATGTTTCCCAAGTCAGCATGGAAGGGTTGGGCGCTCAAAGCCGCCTAGTTGTGTCTGAGCTACTTCCCCCCCCTGCCTCCCCAAATGCCACTCACCGTCACAGCGTCTCGATGGCCAGTGAATTTATACAGGTGCTTGCACGTGACAGCCTCCCAGATCATGATCAGTTTGTTCCTGTCTCCTGTGGCCTGGCAGGGAGACAGCGGACACACTCACCAGCAGCCCCTAACTAGCTTTCCTGGGTCTGTGTCATCACAGCGGGCTGTGTGCCTGTGCTATTATGTTCTGCTGCCATTTCAGAGGCCCAGAGAGAGACTCGGAGGCAAAGTTGGCCAGCAGGAGAGGTCTCAGCCAGATGGGAGGTGGGATTTCCCGCTAGCCACCCCTTGGTTTTGTTCCCAGCTCACGGTCTTCCCCTGGAGAGCATACAGAGCAAACCTCCTCTCGGGACGGTTCCATCAGCACCACAGCCAATGCTGGAGCCCAAGGCTGGTAGGATCCAGCCAGGCAGAGAGGCAGCGGTGATAAGGTGCATGCCGCTGGTGTCTGGCGAATGGGCCCGATCGTGGCACAGCAGCCACCAGCATTTCGCCACCGGGGTGGAGATGGACCCTGCTTCTATCAGGGCGAGTTCCCACAACAAGGTCTCACCATACAAGCCGTGTACCATGCACTCACAGCTGATGTGCTGTTTGCAGCTCCTGTATCCTCTCTGGAGGGAGGCACCCACCCAGCACCTGGGGGGGCCGGGACAGAGAACGGGCAGCGGGGCGGGGAATCAAAGGGGGTTCAGCATTTGCAATGAAGCAGAAAACTGACAGCGAGCAAGAATTCACTGACAAGAGGCTCCTCTCACCACATGGCTCGAGAACAAGGGTGAGCCAGCCAGCCAGCCGGGGAGAGGGTAGGGCCTGGCCACTCCTCCTTACCAGGTATTTGCCATCCGACGAGATGGCCATGGAAAGAATGTGCGCTGTGTGGCCGATGTGCTGGGCCTCTGTCCCCTTCTTCCCTCCAGGGATCACGTGCAACTTCTTCCCGCTCTCCACATCCCCTGCAGCAGACTGCATCAGTCACCTCCTGCCTGATTCTGCAGGGCTGCCTCAGCCAGCGTGTCCTCTTGGCAAGCCAAGGGCCACAAGACAGGGCCAGCGCCTCCCCAGAGGGTTAGGAAGTAGAGAGCGCAAGGCACACCTGACGGTCCCAGCTCACCCATCTCATTCCATTAATGAGGACTCCTTGGTAATGAGGCAGGAGATTCCAACTATCCCCAGCTGTTCAGAGCAAGGTGCGGGAGGATCACAACTAACAGTACAGGGGAGTTCCTGCACCAGGTCCAAAGCAAACTTCTAGAGGGCAGAGCTGACGCTGTACCGAACACTGCCTTCTATCCCACTGTGAATGCTAACCACAGACTCATTTTGTCAGGAGGGTCAACTCAGTTTGGGCCCCTAAGGTCTAAGCACCCGCTTCTCTCCCCCCCTTCCCGCTCCAAAAGGCGGCGGGAGCTGGGTGTGCATTGCACTTCTGAAAAAAAGAGGGGTGTAGGTGTTTGGAGCTGAGCGCTCAAGAACTATGGGGGGACCCCCCAAATTAGTGGGCACTTCTGAAGATTTAGATCCCTGCTTGCAGGGTCAGTGCTACTCCAGCACTAAACTCTAGCTGGTAACAAAGCAAGAGATCTCCCTTCAGAGGAGGAGGCTACAAGCAAAGCTAGAAATTGACAAGCTCAGACAGCCTGCCCTGCATAGCTATGACGTGCGAACATGGCATCTGCCGGGAGATGGAGCACAGCCAGGTTATGGGAGACAAGGTCTTTGGAAATTCTGGAACCTGCAAGCCATTGGACTAAGAGGGGAGGTGGCCTAGGGAAAACTCACATTTGATGATGGAGCAGTCTTTGGCAGCTGAGAAGATGCACTTGTCATCTGGAGAGATGACCAGGCAGGTGATGGGCAGCTGGTGACCTCGCAGCACTCGGATGGCTGCTGTATCTGGAGGCTGCAACTGTTCACACACACAGCACCTCATTAACAAAGTGCTCCGGCACCACAGAACGTGTGTGGGTTGCGAGCTATTTTATCCCCGGGATAGGACACATGTGGACTTCAGAGGGAGTGCAGCACCAGGAAGATCTAGCTGTCAGCACCCAACTTTAGAAGGCCAAGATTTTCAAATATTTAAAGGTACTATATACCCACCCATTACCAATAACGGAGCACTACCAACACCCCTGTGCTAGGACAATGCTATTATCCCCATTTTACAGATAGGAAACCAAGGCACAGACATGCCCCATGACTTGCCCAAGGTCACCCAAGAAGTCTGTGGCAGGGCTTGGAATTGAACCCAGGTCTCCCGCCATTCAGTCCGGTGCTCTACCCATTAGGCCACACTCCCACAGAGCAAACCTGAACCCACAAGAGTCCCAGGTTCGTCCAGGGCCGCCTTGCCATAACATGCAAATGCTGTTATTTTCAACTGAGCTAGGAGCAAGCTCGTCCGAAGCTCCGGCATTGTGAGAACAGTTGGTCTGATAGCCAGGAGATTGAGCCAGTCCAGAAAGGGATCACATGACAATGAGATACCCCCTGCTCTCCCCATGCCTCCAAGGGAGAATGAGCTGCCAGCGACCTCTTCCTGCCCCTACCCAACTCTGAAGCAGAGCAATTCACGCAAAGCTTTGCAAACTTACATCTTTGGCGATCAGTCGCTGCAGTTTTCCCTTCTGTTCAAGCTGTTGAAAGTACAAGGCAGTTAGACATGAGCAGCAAAGGCCTAGGCACTCAGTCCCTGCATAGTGGAGGCTATTCTGCCCTTATAAGAAGTGGAATGAGGACAATTTAGATACCGAAGTTGTTAAGTTGCTGCTTGACCATGCTTTGGTTCGGCCTAAAATACATTCCAGAAAACCAAATAATCTGTGTCATTATTGTTGCTAAAAGCCAATAAAAAGCATAGGACAGGAAGAACAGTATCATATTGAACCTGGCTCTGGGAAGCTCTCATGAAGTGTTAAATTCACCTAAAGCCATCTTTTTATATCCTACCCATTTACAAGAAGTGCTGTGTACATCACCTGAAACTGGATTTAACCAATCAGCTTTCTATGTTATTTTTCTGGTACTATGCTGTACCTCCTTTACCTCTTTTGTTTTGAGAGCATGCACTCCAAGTACTAGGCCTGTGAACGCACCTCTGCTGTTTGCAAGAGGGTAGAACATGGTCTTGGCTTTTTCCTTTGGGACTTTCTAGTAGCAGCCTGAGAGTTTTACTCCCTACCTCTTGCTACGGTAAAACACTCCTGTGTCCTGATCCTGACCGTTTTCCTATCTTCCTAAGCAAAAGTTTACTTCTATGAAAGCAAAGTTTTATGGGATGCTTGACAAGGGTGGACAGAATTGTGGCGAGAGTAGAATACATTCAAATGAACAGTACTTCCCAATACTTATTAACACTAAGCTAATACATGTGTTGTTAGGCAACCTAGGTGAGGGGCACCTTAAGAATACTGATGGTTTAAACATGAATATGCAAAGAGGCCCATGGGTGTGTTTACCTCTTGGCTTAGCAGAGGCCAGGGTTCCCATGCATGGAGTTGCTGAGATTGTAGCCATGAGACAGGTCCTCAAAGGCAGGCCGAAAGTTGGGGGGAGGAGGGGAAAGAGAATCCCAAGGGCTCCAGGAGCATCAGGAGGGAAGAAGCAGGCGCGATTCAAAAGAGAAGACGTCAACAAGCAAGCAAGGAGCCCCTGAATCCACCGACTCCTCTCCCCCAAGCAGCCTACTCACCACATCTTCCTTCAGTCGGCCAGCAACCAAGTCCTTTTCCAAGGCCGCCTCTTCTGCCTTTTCCTCCTCTGCCCAAGAGACAAGCACAGACAGCACATTGGGAATGGAGCTCGCCATGCACAGCAAGAAGGCTCGTGACATACGACTGAAGCAATGAACATTCCTGCATTAGCAGAGCTTCCTCTCCGAGAGGAGGAGCAAGCAGCAGACGGCACTCCAAGAACTACACATCCCAACGTTAGCACAGGCTTTTAACTATGCAAATAAGTGGGGAGCTGGTCCTTAGTGACTGCCTGGTCAGCCCTGCTGCTCCAGACTTAGATCCCAGATCATCAGGCCCAGTCTCATTTACAGTAGTTTCCTGGCCAACAGCAGACCACGCATCCCCCATATCAACATGTGGAAACTTAAGCACTCTAGCCCTTGCATTACCACTTTAAGGCAGAGTTTATCCCTGTGCCCGTGCTATAAGCAGTTCCTGAGCATACTTCAGGGCTTCATCTGGCTGCATAAAGGTTTTATATCCTTTTCTGGGGATTATTTTTAAAACGGCTGGACAGGTGGTGCTGCAAGTGTGACTGACACACCTGAAGCTTCCTCACTGGGTCATTCCAGTCTATAGAGGTTCTTATGACAACTGTGGCATTGTAGGAGCCAAGCTTATATAGTCTATGCATCCTTTAGCACTGCACAGAAAGTTTTGGGAAAACATGATGTGCTTGCTGTTAAGTGCAATGGAATCTTAAAGCTGCTAGCGTCTCGGGATATTCCTGCCATTGCAAAGGCCTATTTTGGGTCAGTTCCCTGCTGGGGTAGGTGGTGATTTTGTCAACAAAACGGGTGACGGAGCCAGGGCTTAGTGTGAATGCAGCTGAAAGCTAGGACTGCATCATGCCCATGGCTCCTGTATTGTCCCCACTTTAACAAGCATTGAAATGGATGTGCGGAGAAGGGACAGCCTTGCCCAACATCTCACAGTAAGTTGGCAGCAGATCCAAGGTCAGAATCCAGGCCTCTTGATCTAACTGCTACACTCCCTCTGAAGCATTCCCCAGAATAAGCTACAGTAGTAACACTGCCCTCTTGTTATAGTAGTCACAGTTAGACTTGTTTTCCTAGCATGTTAAGTACAAGCCATCTAGATTTACCCTTAACCTGGTTTAAAAAAAAAAAAAAGTCTTTTACTGCCATTACATGCAAAGGATAAAGTTACAGGGGGCTGACAAATTCAGACTGGAGATATGCTGTACATTTTTCACAGTGAGGGTAATTAACCATTGAACAGTTTTACCAAGTGTGCCAGTGATGGAAAATCCACCACAAATCCTATATAAGGGGAATATAAAGCGTATTTGAAAAGATCCACCCTTGTTCAAACAGGAATTATTTCAGGGCAGTTCTCTGACCTGTGTTATACAGGAGCTCAGAGTACATGATCACAGTGGTCCCTTTCTGGCCTTGGAATCTATGAATAGCAACACAGTCTCACTAGCAGATCTTACAAGTCTTTTAAACCTGGTACGTACCTAGTTTAGATCCTTTAATGTCACCCTATTTGTGCTTCCCCAATGAGACGTTGAAGGATGAGGAGTACATGTGGCATCTTAGAGGCCAACAAATTTATTAGAGCATAAGCTTTCGTGAGCTACAGCCCACTTCATCGGGCATCTGATGAAGTGAGCTGTAGCTCACAAAAGCTTATGCTCTAATAAATGTGTTAGCCTCTAAGGTGCCACACGTACTCCTTTTCTTTTTACGGATACAGACTAACACGGCTGTTACTCTGAAACCTGTAGAAAGGTGACAAGATCTTGGATGCAGACTGATGATTTGGAGCTGCTTTGTAACTTAGAAGTTCTGTATGTTGGCCTGGTTATTGGGGTGCTTACTGTATGACCAGCCACTTAGATCAACAGGGCAGTCTGGAAAACCAGCTGCGGAAGAAGAGCACTCCGCAAACACCAGAGAGTTGTTAAGGACAATGCCAGGCCTTTGTGCTTTGAGGATTCTGGCTCTGTCTCCTGCTGAGCCTACAGGACTGTTGACCAGAAGGGTCAGAGCCCAGGAGCAGAGTAAAAAAGCTGCCAGAGGGTTAAAAAGGAACCCTCTCTCAAGGGAGGGGGGAAAAGAACTGAGACAGACACCCGGTAGGTTGTCTGAAGAGGTCAGGCCTGCCTAGGCTAACAGCAGGGGATTGTAAGCCTTTAGGTAAGGCAGATGTGTCTAGACTGTTCTGTTATATAATCCTCTCTCTCCAATGTTTTGTTCCTACTGCAGCATAGAAATTGTGGTTTTAAGAGCCTGTTTTGGCACTATACACATCTGTGAGGGTCACTGTGGCAGGGAAAGGCCAGTTAACCCAGCTGAAGATGAAGCCCAGCTAATGGTGCTATAAAAGAAGGGAAGTCCCGCGCAGAAGGGGGCTGGAGGGAGAAACTTTGCAGTTGCTCTGTGGGACTAGAGCCTGGGGAGACTAGGAGGTGGTCCAGGAATCCTCTCAAGGAGAGAAATCTGGCAGGAGACCCAGGAGAGGGGTTGCTGGAAGTTTCCACTCTCTGGGAGAGGAACCACAGAGGAGCCTGCAGAAAGGAACTTGTGTCCTGGAAATGTTCCTGGAGGGCAAGGGCAGGGGGGAGAAGGGAACCCTTAAAGCAGGCCAGGGAGAATAGAGACTCTAGGAAAGAAGCCCTGAGGGTCAGTGGCCTGGGAGGAGCCAGACCATCAGGGAGAAAGCCTGGGGAGGCAGCCTTCTATAAGAGAGGAAAGGCCCTGTAGAGCCTGGGATGGGAGAAAAGCCTGCAGAGGATCAACCCTGGGAAGTGTGGAAGAGTTCTGGTACCTGTGACACTGTTACCCCAAAATGCATGGGACTAAAGCATGACCTGACCAGGGGGCCATGTCATGAGAAGAGACCACTGCAGGGCTGGACCAGCTGTCAGCAGGGGGCGCAAGATGAGGAGAAAGCTGCTATGCCACACCAATCTGCAAGGGGGAACTCCAGCGGTAAGTCACCTATCTTACATTACCGCTGATCAGAATCCTAAAGGGAAGAACCACAGGTGCCAAACTCAATCACACCTGCAGGATAACCGGGCTTGATACACAGGATATGGTAACCCAGTCTAAGAGTGGGAGAACTGCAGAATCCTGTCCCAGGTTAGGCAAGGCCTGACACCTCAGGTGATGCGCTCAGAGACCAGCAGCTTATTCTGCAACTATGGCAGACTTTATCCAAGAAAGATAGTATTTTACATAGCAGATGACTTACAACGAGCTTCAGGACACAACAATGCAGATGATGAAGAAAGCATTTCAGAGCTTTTCTTTCAAGTTACTTGGAACACAACCAACACATCAACTGTTACATGTCAAGACAAACTGCAGATTTGATTTGTATAGTGACTGGGACACCTATGCTGAATTGCCACATTTAGGAAAGTAAGCAAGCAGGCAAGAAGTATGAGACTCTGCATTTTTGTCACTTAATTTTATACTTCTCTATATACTAGTAAATGCATTAAATTATTTAGATTGTCCCCAAGGAGGTTAGACTGCCTCTTCTTTGGGGTCTGTACTTAATAATAAATTTCATCAAGCGAAAGCAGTCCAGTCATTACAGCACTGAAGCCTGTGTAGCAGGGAAGAGGCTCAACTCCTGTGTGCAAATCAGTAAGGAAGAGCAGCGGGGCTGAGGTACAGCTCCTAGTGCCCTCGCTCCGCAATAGCATCCCCTGCACTACCCAGCCACATGCACCCAGTCTGTTGAATACTAACCCTGCTGTCGAAGCTGCTCCAGGTAAAGTTTGGCTAATCTCAGCTTCTTTTCCTGTGCGGTCTCTTCAATCTCCTCTTCTGCCTCATTGTCCTTCTTCCGCTTCCCACCAAATGTAGGGCTACAGGGGAAGAGAGGGTGTGTGTGTGTGTTCCTCCAGCCATAACACCCTTCACTTTATAGCCCATTTGTAATCTAATATCCAGTCAAGAAAATCTGCTTTTGGACTGAAGTCTGTGTACAGAGAGACAGTCATTTACAGCCATTTAAGTACATAAACAGGCTCCACTCAACTTTTTTATTTAGAAGTGTATAAAGGGGCAAGTTCTTTGTAATTAACTAAGAAATAACATTAAGTGGAGAGGGTCCCCACCACCTAGTATAGGCCCCACATTTCTGAAACAGTGGCCACCACCACTTTAAGTGAGAGGGACTGTGAAGTCTGGCTTGGAACAAAGTGCATCATGCAACTGTAACTAACTATAGTTCTGCAAGATGCCATCCAAATAAACAGGATGGAACAGCCTGCATAGAAGCATGGAGAGATTCTAGTCTATGTAGATACTTACACCATGCTCATCACCGTAGCATCTGAGCGCTTTCCAGCTGAGCAAAGTGAGTAACATCTTCATATGCTTGTTCTCTCCTCCCTTCCTAAAGGGAGAAGTGTGTGCAGTGGAGTGGTCTGGGAATTTTTTTTTTTTTTTAATACACACTGCAGTGATGGTCCTTAATTCCTGGGGGAGTTCATTCCAGAGTCTGGGACTAGCCCCTGAAACCACTGTCTCCTGATTGTGGGAAGTTGCAAAGCAATCTCAGGAAAAGCATACAAAAGAAGAGCTGTGAGTGTCCCACCTTGTTTCTCCCCCACTGAACCCCAGGAGGAAAGATTTCGCTCTCTCCCTCTGTATTTCTATGGCCCTCACCTCTACAGTGTCTGGACATCTTGGAGTGGGAGGAGGGGTGGGCACAGGTAGGGATGTCTCCTGGGTTCTGCTCTGCAGGGTGCCTATCTGAGGGACCCTTTGGGGCAACACCCACAGGGGAGCTAGTGTATTACCTCTCCGTATCGGAGTCGCTGGAGATCTCCTCATTCAGCTTCAAGCCAGCTTTCTGCCAGGATTTCTCCTCTGCATCACGGACCTCAAGAACAAAACCCTCTTTCAGCACATCCTGGCTATAGCAACAAGGTTGAGGGGGAGGGGGACACCAGCCCACGGCATCTCCCCTCTCACAACTTGGAGGGAGGGGGGCAATGGGCAGGGAAAGCCCACTCCTTGCAACCACCCTAGGATCCCCACAATGTCCCATCACCTCCAGCCCATAATAAGCAGAGGAAAAGCGATAGACAACTACCTTAGCTAGCCTAGGGAATCTTTGCTTCCTCTCCCATTTCCCCCAGCCTCTTTGCCCCCCCACCCACCTCCATTCCCCTAGCATCCTTCGCCCCCTAGCCTTCCACCCCATTTCCCCTACCCAACCCCTCCAGCCCTCGATCCCCGCACCCAGCCCCCTGGTCCTCCACTTTCCCCAGCCAGCCCCATTCCCCCTTCACAGCTCCCTAGTCCCCCGCTTCCCCCAGCCAGCCTCCTCCCCCATTCCCCCTACCTAGCCCCTCTGTTCCCCACTTTCCCCAGCCTGCCCCATCCAGCCTACCCCATTCCCCCTACCTAGCCCCTCTGTTCCCCACTTTCCCCAGCCTGCCCCATCCAGCCTGCCCCATTCCCCCTACCCAGCCCCTCCATTCCCCTAGTCCCCGATTTCCCCCAGGTAGCCCCCTCCCCCATTCCCACCAGCCTGCCCCCCAACCCCCGAGTTCCCCATCAGCTCCTTAGTCCGACCCCCGTCATCCCCGGGACCTCGCCCCCACCTTGCGCCGCCTGTGCCCGGCTCCCCCCGCCGCGGCCGCTCGCTGCTGCTGCTGCTGCTGCTGCTGCTGCTTCTTCTTCGCTCCCGACGCCGCCATGCTTCTGCCTTTGGCGCTACCCCCTGCTCAGCGCTCGCTACACATGGCGCTCTGGTTCCACCCCTGCATCCCTCCCATTGGGCAGAGCCACTCCGGCCCCGCCCTCAGCTCCTCTCCATTGGTTGGAATTACTCCCAGGTCCGTCCCTCCGCACTTACGTTCCTTCTAGGGCTACGCCCCTTCGCTCCCGCATTGTGCCCCGCCTCCCTCTCCTATTGGACAAATCTGCCTCTTGGCCCCGCCCCCTGTCTCCTGTTGGTGAGCTGAGTTGCCTGTGAACGGGACCCGTTCCCCAGCAGATTTCTTTTTGCGCATGCGCAGTGCGCTCCGCGAAGGCGGCGGCTCTGCGGGGTGAGTGCGCCACTAGAGGGTGATGCATCCGCCTGTGGGGTGGCCGGGGCCTTGGGGCTAGTTTTGTGGAGGGCTCGGGGCGGCGGCTCCGGGACTGGTTGGGGCGGGGGGCTGGTTAGGGAGGTGAGGGCGTTGGGCTGGTTTGTGGGGGCCTCCGGGCTGGCTTGGGAGGGGGCGAGGGCTTGGGGCTGGGCCCTGGGGGTGGTGATCTGTGACCTTGTGAAGCGGGTCGCTGCCTGGGAGCAGTCTGCAGGGGGGCCCTTGTTCCAGGCTCAGCAGCAGGTGGCAGCGTTGGGGCCGGGGTCCCTGTGCGGCGCAGTGGCTTTGGGAGGTGATGTTTAGAGCTGGACTCTTGCTTTGGGGGTTTGGCAGACCCGTGGGGCAGAGCGGAGAGGTGAGCAGAAAGGGCCTGCCTCAGGGGGTGCTGAGCAGTTGTGGCTCCTGTTGAGTTGAGTGGTGTGGGGTGCTCAGCACCTTGCAGGATCTGTCCCAAAGACCACTGGATTCTAGCGGAGTTCAGACTTGGGCACAGGAGCATCTAAACTGGTCCCAGTTGAGCCATGAAGTTCCCACCTCACTGGGGGACTGAGATGCCAGGCGGCGGAATCCAGGGTGCCTTTCTGTGGTGCCCTTCATCCCCACGGCTCACTACGCTGTGCGGAGCTGGTGGGTGCTGGTATCCTGGTTTGGCAGGGAGGCACAGCTGGTGTTACTTGCCCAGAGTCACTTTAAAAAGAAAAGAAAAGGAGTACTTGTGGCACCTTAGAGACTACCAATTTATTTGAGCATGAGCTTTCGTGAGCTACAGCTCACTTCATCGGATGCATACCGTGGAAACTGCAGCAGACTTTATATATACACAGAGAATATGAAACAATACCTCCTCCCACCCCACTGTCCTGCTGGTAATAGCTTATCTAAAGTGATTATCAGGTGGGCCATTTCCAGCACAAATCCAGGTTTTCTCACCCTCCACCCCCCCACACAAATTCACTCTCTAGCGGGCTAGCCCATCCAAAGTGACAACTCTTTACATAATCAAGTCGGCTATTTCCTGCTTTTGTGCAGGAAATAGCCCGACTTGATTATGTAGAGTTGTCACTTTGGATGGGCTAGCACCAGCAGGAGAGTGAATTGGGGTGGAGGGTGAGAAAACCTGGATTTGTGCTGGAAATGGCCCACCTGATAATCACTTTAGATAAGCTATTACCAGCAGGACAGTGGGGTGGGAGGAGGTATTGTTTCATATTCTCTGTGTATATATAAAGTCTGCTGCAGTTTCCACGGTATGCATCCGATGAAGTGAGCTGTAGCTCACGAAAGCTCATGCTCAAATAAATTGGTTAGTCTCTAAGGTGCCACAAGTACTCCTTTTCTTTTTGCGAATACAGACTAACACGGCTGTTACTCTGAAACCTTTAAAAATAAATTAGGGGCAGCTAGGAAATAAACCCTGGGGGCAGATCTTCAGCTGGTGTAAATTTCCACAGCTCCACTGTTGGAGGATTTACTCCCTGGACTGATCATGTGCACTAGCCACCAGCCCTTACCCCCCCCCCCCCCACGCTGCTGTTTAGCTCAGTGGTTCTCACCCCTGCTAGCTGCACCCAGCTCAGAATTTCTGCAGGGAAAGAGGGGCTTGTCCTGACCATATTGTTCCAACAGCAACAAGTCTGAGAGCATCCAGGCTGGAATGTGCTGGCCTGGCTGAGAGCTACCCCCACGTCGTCCTTTCTAGAAGGGTTGGCAGTCTCTCACTGTAGTCTCTCTCCCCTAGCAACTCCTTTTCGGTTCCCCTGAGCCCACGCAGTGCAGAGCCGGTGCCAGGTGACTCCTTTTTCTGAGCTGAGCTGGCTCCTCTCCCACAAGGGGAGTTGCTTTGCAGGCTGAGGTCACTGGGAGGAGGAGAATGGTAGGGAGAGTGGAAAGAGCAGGCGGCTGTGCCAGCTCCGGCTTGTCTAAACTTGTCCCCTTTGTATTCCTCTACTGAGGCTGGCCAGGAGGAGCAGCTCCAGCACCCCCAGTCTGCAAAGGAACTCCAGGCGGGTGAGTGCACCTCTGCTTCCCTAGCAGGCTAGAGGGCAGGTGGAGAACAGCTGAGTGGAGCCTGCGGCTGCCCTGTGCCTCTGTCCCTTGCTGTTAAAGCCCTGATAGTCCTCAAGGGCAGGGCATGCAATTTGCTGCCTTCAGGCCGTGGCTGCTGGGATTGATCTGTAGCATGATTAATTTTGGGAATGGAACTGTGGTGCTGGACCTTCCCTGCCTGCCAGATTCCTTCTCCTTCTCCTCAGAGAAATTCTAGCTCGGGACCAGCAAACCCCAGGGTAATGCGAGCGCTCTCCCTGCTCCGTCTCCGCCTCGCCAAAGCTCCCATTGCTTTGCTGTGCACAGAAATGTCTGGAAAGGCCCCGTTCTCCACCCCTCCCTTGTTTTTGTGGCTTGTTTGCTCTTTGGCCCTGCAGGGCTGCTTCCTGCCTACTCAGACACCACGCTTACGGAGATAATGCCCCTCAAAGGGATTGGTCGTGCACTGAGCCTGGCGAGACTCTGGGGCATTCTGCTCTATGGGTATCGCTGTACCCATACACAGCTGCGTAGGACTAGGGCTATACAATACAGCCACATGCATCTGGAGTCCCGTGAATCTCGTATTCACGGAGTATGTAGGTTCAAGTCTTCATTGCCCATTAGTGGGGATTTTATCACTAGAGACTGAGCTGTGCAATCTCTGCCTGGAATTCTTCTGCCCTGCTGTATTTCCTTCCTGTTTGGTCCTTGTTTTCTGAATCTTGCTCTTGGCTTATATTACTTGGACTCCTGGAATAAATCGGGTGATTCTTCCAACCCAGGTTCCCCTTTGGTTTGGGGTCTGCTGCTGGCATTGTGTTCCTTTGTGCCAGGGTATGCAAACGAAGCTTACTTGGAGAAGTGCAACCGGTGCTTGCCATTTGGCTGGGTGGATTAAATTTCTCTCTTGGTCCCAAGGGAGAGGTTGTGTTTGAGCTGCTTTTTCTGCCTCTTTCCCAGAATAGGGGGGCAAAAAAGATAATCTATCCATAAACCCCTTCACTTTACATTTTAAAGATGACCTGCCACATATAGATTTGTACCATCCCCCCCGCCTCCCTGCTCTCTGCTTACTAGAGGCTTCGCAGGTTGAAAGGTTTGGTAGTTTCTTGCCTGAGAAATATTAAGCATGGCAAGCCTAGTCTTCTCTGGCTTTCCTGGAGGACTCCTTGGTGGCTGCTTGTGTGGACTAAAAGGGCAATCTTTAACCAAGAGAGCTTTTCTCCAAAGTACGTAGTGGGTGTTTGAATTCAGTAGAGTTAAAATAAAATACCAGCGTTTTAAATAGTGTGAATAAAAATGCTTTCCCTTCCCAGTTAATTAGATTTCACTTCTTTGGTGTCTGTGATGTTATAATTCCAGTTCTTCAGTGGTCCATAGAGTCTTCTAGAGTAGGCTAGACCTGCCTGCTGTCTAAGAACTACACTGTGCAAGCCAGGCTGCCTAAACGGACTAGTGTCGGCACTTCGCTTTCTCTCCAGCGATCGTGAACAGCATAATGGCCTGCAGTTATCAGTTACCACCCAGCTCTTTCTAAGCAAGCACATTTATTTGTAAGGTGAAAGCATTACAGATAAACATATTAATAACATTAAAAGAACCTACACATATGCTAAAATGCTTGCCACAGGTCACCCCAATTCCAGCCTCTGGCCCTGGGACATGTCAGTCCTTCAAACCCCACAGCTGGCTTTTCAGTGTGGCTATGAGTTAATAACCAGCTCAGATTCAGAACCACCAGGAATAGTCCTGGCTCTTTCTTTATACAGCTTGAGCCTGTAATCTTGGCCTCAATAAGTAATCAGCATGCAACAGCTCACACCTCAGGGTGTGGTCTCAAAAGGCCGCCAGGTTTTTGCATAGCTGGATGTGGAGAATTTGCTTTCACCTCCCCATAGCTTTTTCCCATGAAAACCACTTAACACATTTTGTTCCCATAGTCCATTCTTATCTGGCCCATTGTTCGCTATAGTTCTGTGAACCCCCAGGTCTCTCATCTCCTTCTCTCGAGGAGTTATGTACAATCCGGGCCCTCAAATGAACGGTTAATGTATTATTAATACAATGAGCCCCAAAGAGACTCAAACTTAGTTCAGTGAGATCTCCCAAGGATACTGCAGAAAACTGACACATCTGTGACACCACTTCTCCCACCCCTTAACACTTCCTCAGTCAGCAACCAGTCACCTAAGAAACCTGCATGTCATGATCACCCAAAGGGGGCGTGCTTCCAGCCAGCTAAGGGGCTGTCTCTTTCAGCTGCTTGTTGTGTAGGACACACTTGTTGTGTCAGTACATCCTAACACAATGTGCTTTGTGTCGCTACATAATCCCATCACGCTGCTTTTTGCTGCATTGCAGCTGGATGCTGAGTGAAGTCTGGAGGTTTAACTCAGGGGGTTGAGGTTGAAATCCCCATTGACGTCAGCTGGGCTGAGGCTGTCTGGGTTTGACTGGGTGTGGTTCAGTTGGGGTGTGCGCGTGTGCTGTCAGATCACCAGGCTGGGCTCAAATGTAAGGGGGCATTTAAATAAGGATCCAGCAAAACTCGTTCCTCCTTGGCTGTGCTAAGCTATGGCAGCGCTGGGCTTGAGAGACATCCTAGTTTGATTGTTCAGAATGCCAGACCATTTGCCCACAATGGCCTGGTGAGCAGTGCTAGAAACTGTCTTTGCCAGGTCTGTGTTTAAACAGAGAAGTTAGAGGGTTTCAAACTTGGTTCCCACTCCAGTGCAGATAGGGCCTTCCCTTAAGCAGAGGGAATCAGAGCATCTGATCACCACCACTCCCTCAAGGAGTAAGGACCCACCCATGCTACAGATACAGCCGAATCAGGGACCTGGTTACAGTCGGGCTTTGGCTGCCCCTCCTCTCACTCTGGTTGGATGGCCCCCATGGGTGGGGTGTGGGAGAGGAACAGCAATGCCTGGAATGCAGTCCAGGACTTAGGCTCTGCAGGAGAGTGCTGGAAACACATATTCACCAGCCTGCCACAGAGTGCAGCAGGCTAAACTCCCCATTGGCAGCTCGCCCCCTGGGCCGCAGCCACTGTCAGATTACAAGTTGTTTCAGCTGGACGGAGCCGTTGCCCAACGCCGGGCACTAGACGGGTATTTCATTCGTTGAGCTAGTCTCCTGTTATTGTTTTTCTGGGAGAGACATACTGCTCTGCGTGGACCAAGGACAGCCTAAACTGTAACTAAACATCCTTTGGGGGTCAGTGGTTTCCCCCTCTTCCTCTTTGGTTGCCTCTGCCACTCATAATCCTCATCCTTTAGCACTGTGTGGTCCTTGCTAGTCACATCCCATCTGTCCCGGCCCCTGGGCCTTGGACTGTAAGTTCTTTGGGACAGGGGCTGGGGCTTAGCTTGTTCCTTGTATGCTCAGCACACTTCCAAGTGCTCCAAAATGAACAGTAGCAGTGGTGGGGGGTGTGCTTGCATTCTCTTGGTGTGCGTGGGGCTAGTGGGCTAGGGTGGGGAAAGGAGGCAGGTTTTGCTAAGCAGTTATGGGAAGTTGTCCTGTGAGGGCTCCAGTGGAAGGGCTGGGGAAAGCCTCGGTGTAGTCCAGCTGGGCTAGCACTAGAAACGGGAGGGCACCTGGGCTTGGGACATTTCAATGGCAGCTTTTATAGACTATTGTGAAGTATCTTTCATCTAAGGATCTCTATGCACTCAACACACGCTAGTGAGATGAAGCCTCACACATCCCCTCTTCGAGCTGGGGAATGATTATTATCCCCATTTTATGGGTGGGGAAACTGAGGCACGGAGGAGCGTAAAGTGACTTGCACCAGCTCACGCACCAAGTCAGTGGCAGGGCTGGGAGCAGAACCCAGGTCTCCAGGTGCCATAAGCACAAGACTAGCCATCCTCCCTGGACCCAATCCTGAAGAGCTCTTGGTGTTCACCCACTGCTAGTGTAGCTTTGGGATAATCCTGGGAACTGAGCAGGCTGCTGGCCTGCGACAGAGAACGGCCTCCTCACCCTCCATCCTGCCTCTGCAGGACATAAGTGACTCTAATGGAGGCCCTAATTCTTATTGCAGCAGAGTGGCCATCGCTGCAGGGGAGCAATGGCCCCCAAACGCAAGTCGCCTGCCAAGGCCCAGGCCAAGGCCCAGGACAAAAAGATGAAGCAGGAGCCGGAGGAGGACAGCATCCGCTCCACCATGGAGGCGCTGAAGACCGCTCCCAAGGAGAAGCTCAAAGCCAAGATCGACTCTGCTTGCCAGCTGAGCAATGGCAGTGATGCCCAGGTATGAGTGAGGCTCAGGCAGCAGGGTCCCCTGGGGAGGAGGAGACGCCTTCGCACGTCACCTGGCCCCAGGGCCGGCCTTAGTGAAAATGGTGCCCTGGGATAACTTGTATTTTGGCGCCTCCCCCTTCCACCATCCCCCCGGCTCCTATAGGTTCCCCCCCCCCCCCCGCCCCCCATCACCTCCGGGCCATTACCTATACTTCATATGGAATGTCCACATGAAAGTCCATTCAATGTAGGTGGGCATCTCCTATGGTCCATTGTGAGTTAAGTGTCCCTTGATGAGCCACTTACTTTGACTAAAAGAACGAGGAATCCTTGTGGCACCTTAGAGACTAACAAATTTATTTGGGCATAAGCTTTCGTGGGCTAGAACCCACTTCATCAGATGCATGGAGTGGAAAATACAGTACAGAGGGATAAACACACAGAATATGAAAAGATGGGAGTTGTTTTACCAAGTGGGGGATCAGTTGGTAAAACAACTCCCATCTTTTCATTTTCTGTGTGTTTATCCCTCTGTACTGTATTTTCCACTCCATGCATCTGATGAAGTGGGTTCTAGCCCACGAAAGCTTATGCCCAAATAAATTTGTTAGTCTCTAAGGTGCCACAAGGACTCCTCATTCTTTTTGCTCATACAGACTAACACTGCTACCACTCTGAAACCTGTTACTTTGACTAGTCCCTTCAAGCTGTGTTGACTAACTACCTTGTGGGCGTTACCCCAGGAGCAAACATATGAAATACAGGTATAGAGCCAATACTCATAACTTCAAATACAAAAATGATGCATGCATAAACATATTCAGCAAACCCTAACCTTTTCAAAGACATCTTACATGCCACATTTGGTACAAGATTTGTTGCAAATGTAACAGTGGTTGCAACAATGATCTACATGGTCATGTTTTAATCAGATAACGTCACAATGAGTAACTGCTACAACTAGCAAATTCCTAGGCCACTGTCAGCAGAAGCTCAGAAGTAAGGGTGGCATGGTACATGGTGTATTGCAGTGGTTCTCAAACTTTTGTACTGGTGACCTCTTTCACATAGCAAGTCTCTGAGTGCAACCCCCCCTTATAAATTAAAAACACTTGTTTGTATATTTAACACCATTATAATGCTGGAGTCAAAGCAGGGCTTGGGGTGGAGGCTGGCAAGTCGCGACCCCCCCCATGTAATTACCTCACGACCCCCAGTTTGAGAACCCCTGGTGTATTGCCCCTTACTTCTGTGGTGGCTTGTGGTGCCTGGAGCTTGGCCTGCGGCTCAAGGTGGGCTTTGCGGTGTCACGTGGCGGCTGCATCTTGCCAGAGCCCAGGGCCCTCCTGTAGCCCCTAGCCACTCCTGGCTCACCACAAGCATTTTGACAGGAAGTACCAAGCAGTAATAACAAGAATACGTGTGTGTGCACGTGAGTGTGAGAGAGAGAGTGCCTGTGTGTGTGTGTGACTGTCTGTCGGGATTGTGTGAGAGACTGTGTGTGTTGGGGAGTGTGAGACTGTGTTGTCAGATCACCAGGCTGGGCTCAAATGTACGGACACCCCCACACACACCCACCCACCATCTGTGTTGGGGGACTGAGAGACAGAGTGTATGTGGGTGTGAGAGCTTTTGTGTGTGCGTTAGGGAAGTTTGAGAGACAGCGAGCCCACTGTCACTTTAAGTCTCCCCTCCCATTCCCCCCCCATTTGTGCTGCTCTGGGCTCCCTGGGGTTGGGGCAGAGCTGGAGCCGCTGAGGAGCGAGTGAGGGAGGGGCCAGGGGGTTGGGGTCAGGGAGAAGCCCATCAGCCCAGCGCAAGGGAGGAGACGGTGAAGAGAGGAGTCCGGCCACAGCCAGCTCGTGGGAGGGCGAGCCCCTTGTGGTGCCCCCCTGGCTACAGTGTCCTGGGCGTGGGCCCCGTTTGCCTGGCCCTAAGGCCGGCCCTGCCCAGCCCTGAGGCTAAATGCTGGCGCTCGGAGAGCCCGCTGCATGAGCCCTGCGAAAGAAGGAAGTTTGTGGGTTGCGGCGGAGCTGCAAGGATTCAGTCCCTGGGAGCTGGTAAGCGCTCTGGCCTCCAGCGCTAGGCAGAGCTGAAAGAGCCTCTCCCCACCAGAACCCATCAGCTAATGCTGCTCTATGGGACAGTCCCAGGGATCCCAGCCCGAGGGAGTGCCTCCCTGTCTGACTCCAGCACAGAGCCCATTACTAACACTGCTCCACGGGACAGTCTTGGGGATCCCGGCCCCAGGGAGCCCCTCCGTGACCCTCCCTGTGCAGACCGCATTACTAACACTGCTCTACAGGACAGTCCTGGGGATCCTGGCCCCAGGGAGCCCCTCCCTGTCTGACCCCAGCACAGGCTGTCCCAGAGCAGTTGTGTAGCCATCCCTGCTCGAGGGGCCACTCGAGTTCATTGCTCCCCTGTGGTCTGTTGGGTAGATCCACGAGGATTACGACTGCATATTGAACCAGACCAACATCGGGAACAACAACAACAAGTTCTACATCATCCAGCTCATCGCTCAGAATGGCAGCTACAGCTGCTGGAACCGTTGGGGTCGCGTGGTGAGTGTCCTACTCCCTGCCCAGCCACTGCCACAGCTGGGCCAGTACCTCTCTCTGCCAGCCACCAGGGGGCGTTGTTACAGTAGCTACCTCTGCTGCCATGAGGCCAAGGCCCAGCCAGGGCCACCCATCCTAGGGGACATGGCAGTAAGCTAAATCCAGGGCTGTTAGACACGGCGCCTGCCTCCCGTGCAGAAGCTGGGTGTTTAAACTACATCCTTTACTTGCTGACATTTGTTTGTTTATTTGTGTGCTTGCATTATGGCCCCCCTTCAAACTCCGTCTCTCTCCTGGTTGCTTGCTCATCGTGTTTGTTTGCCTTGGGTCCCATCAGATCCAAGTGAAAGGTGGTTCTGAAGCTCCATTTGTTGGTCACACCCCCTGGAGCTGACCAGTGAGCTCCCCCACATCCCCCTGAGCTAAGTGGAAGCGCAGTTAGTGTCTGGGTTTTGTCCCCCCGCAGGGCACGAATGGCACATGCTCTGTGCTTCCTGGAAGCTCTGGTCTGAACGCTGCTCCTTGGGAAGCCTATACTGAGCAGTGCGGAGTCATAAATCATGACTCACCCTTTCCTCTTGTTGTTCGCCCCCCTCCCATCCCCCACTTGCTGCACACAGGGGTCCCAAGCTCCCACCCCCTTCCCAAAGCACAGACCCACATGCTCTTATTTTCCCCCTGCCCCCATCCCCTTGGGTACTGGAGGTAATAGACCCCACAAAAGTCTCCTTGGGGAGACGCGGGGAGGGCACAGTACACCCTTCCCACTCCGGACAGGCCAGGGAAAGGGGGGCTGAAGCTACCGGGCATGTCCCCCTGAGAGGGGCTGATGTGGGTGTCTGGCTCCCTCTCCAAAAGGGACCTCTCAAGCTGTGAGCTCTGCAGGGGCTGTCTTGCTTTGCATGCAATACCCAGCACATTGGGGGATGGACACTGTCATGTAAACGGGTGATTTACATTGCCTGCCATAGTGAGATTCCCTCCCTGGCCACTTGGTGTCAGTCTCAACCCACTTCCTCGAGTTCTAGGAACTCCCCTTGCTGATGTCAGTGTCGTGGGGAGACAGTCCCCGCGGAAGCCAGTTTTAGCACCAGGGCTGTTAGCCTCAGCACCCTGAGCGCTGGTGACTCAGATCCCTGCTCGATGCTCCCAAGGAGGCCGAGCCATGCAAGGGACAGCCCAACCCAGTGCCTCACTGACAAGGTCCCAGGAGCTCTAGGGCTGTCCCTGCCCTAATTTGCTTTACACTGTGCGGGTTGCAGCTGGTGTAGCTTTAACTTCCAGAAAAACAAGGCTCTGGTAGCCTGTAGTGACAGTGTGACAGACAGAGCAACTTCCTGCCCCACTTTGGGAGACCAGCCGATATTAGGTGTAGGCCAGGTTTGTGGATTGTTGTGAGCCCGGAGCTGTATGCACTTCATGGGGAGAGGGTTACCGCAGCCCCTCCAGGAAGTGAAAACAGAATGGGATAGTTAGGGCAAATCACTCAGGTCATAACACCTCCGGAGAGGTACCACCTCCTGGGGACGCTCGCGTATACTGGTTCAAACTGAATTCTCCAGAGACCAACAGTCAAAAAAAGGGATAAGAATAAGTAGCCTGAGCCTAAACTGACTCGGGGCCTTTGTCCTGGTTCTGGATCTTAAATAGATTAACTTGTAACCGTGGGGAAAAGCCAATTGTGGGTTTTCAAGAAATTTACCAGTGCCTGGGCTGGAGTGGTAAGCTTTTAGCATGTGTGTGGGGTCACCTATTGATTTAATGCGTTATATCTGTAGTATTTTTACCCTGAGAATATATGTGCTTGCTTAGAAGGAGCTGTGTGGTACACTGGTCAGAGTTTTTGGAGAGAGAGCAAAGTGCAGGCGCAGGCCTGCTGAGCAGTCTGGCTTGCTGGGGATATTCCAGTGTAAAGCTGTGCAGCTTTAAAGTCCCTGGTCAGGAGGGAGTGAGATGTGGGTCTCCGCCCAAAAGAGATGGTGGCTGATGGCCTCTTGGTGGGCCACAGAGAGGGATACACATACATTTGCTCTGAAAATGTGACAAATGGTTGAGCTGAAGTACTTCGTAAGAAGATCACCTAATGGGCTGATGCTCTGGGGCAGAGTTAGGGTTGTCTGGCTGGGCAATTCCACACATTGCATCATTTGAAGCATTTTTCAAATAGGAAATTAACTTCGCATGCCCAGGTTTTCCAGGGTTCTGGTTTGGTTTTGTCTTTTAAACTGCACTGGCAGCATTCTTTAAAGGCACCTTCCAAAAGGGTGAGTTGAACATCTGCTTAGCCCTGACTCTAGCCTAACAAAGGTTTTTAGCTGGGAATTTCCTCGTACTTCAAACACCTTTTCCAAACCTTGCTCCGTGACGAGGACTCTAGCAGAATTTGCAAAGCTGGGCAAGGATGGGCCTCAAGAATCCTGCCTCCCTGGACATCTGGGTTCCTTCCTAGACCATCCCATGGAATCAAGCCCAGATAGGAGCCACCTGCTCCCAACATGGTTCTCTTGCCTGCTGCTTTCCTCTTTGTGCTGTTCTTGCAGGGGCCATGGGGACTCGGCAAAGCAGGGGGAAACCACTGTTAAGTAAACACTTCTTCCCATCCATTGCCCCAGGCAAAAAACTAGCCAAGGGCATTGCACTTTGGCAGGAAAATCCACCTCTGTCTGTAATGTCCCCAGTCTGACTTACCCAGGCTAGCCAGAAGAACCCTACCCTGGGATTGGAATATGAGTGTGGCATTTTGGGTGGCTTGGCAAAGCTGTGCATGCAGGAGAGTCAGAGTCGGGCTTAGCTGGAGAGCTAGTTAATTGGATTCATGTCCCAGGAAGATACATGCAGCCTCTGTAGACTACCCAGCATGCAGTGCATCCTTGTTGCCTTTATTAAATGGAGAATTGCAAGCTGGGGCCTGTAGTCTCCACAGGCTGCACCTGTGTGAAGGCGCCCATGGCTGCACTGTAGAGGCCAGCTGCAGCCCCAATCCAGGGGGAGCCCCGAGTTGAAGGGGAAGGTGAGCAGTGAACACAGGAACAGGGCACTGACCCTGACCCTGCCACGGGTTTCTTTCATTCCTAGGGGGAGGTGGGGCAGTCGAAGCTCAGCCCCTTCCCTTCCCTGGAAGCTGCCAAGAAGGACTTTGAGAAGAAGTTCCGGGAGAAGACCAAGAACAGCTGGGCTGAGCGGGAGAACTTCGTGGCCCACCCTGGCAAGTACACCCTGATCGAGGTGCAGCACGGGGCCGAGGAGGAGCAGGAGGTGACCGTGAAGGTGTGTGACTGGGGGCCCCGGGATAAGCCAGGCTGCCCCCACATGGAGCCAGGAAAACAGGAACCTGCCCGAGGCAGCTAGGGACATATGTGCCATGGTGCTGAGGGACTGGCACAACCCCGTTTGGAGACTTGGGGGAGCAGGGAAGGCAGTCCCCCTCCTGGCTGTGCAGTTGCAATGCAGGGGCCATGTCCTGAACTCCTGGCTTGGGTATGTGTCCGGCTGCTGCCCGAGAGCGTGACGGGAGCTGGTGGAAGCTTTGCCTCCATGAGGAGTGAGCAAGGGCCTCGGGATTTGGCCCACAGATGGCAAAATGTCACATCCTGCTTCAGGTGACGGCCCCAGTTCACCCCCTCAGGGCAGCTCCCCGCTGGAGACAAACTTCCATGGGGCGGGGTGGCCGGGCAGGGCTGGGGGGATCCATTGCTGGCTCTGGGGGGCTTTTTCCATGCAGCTGGCCTGGTGGCTGGCATAGCAACATTGGAATGCCCCATGGGGTGGGTGGGAATGTCCTCCGGAGGGAGAGCCCCTCTGCCTGTCGGAGCTAGAGCTCTCCTCTCCCCTCCCCCAGGTGGACAGCGTGGATGGAGGAAAGCGCACCAAGCAGAGGACGCTGCCCTGCAGCCTGGACAAGGCCACCCAGGAGCTGGTCTCACTCATCTTCAGCAATGACATGTTCAAAGAGGCCATGCAGACCATGAATATCGGTACAGTGGGGAGCGGGGCCCTTGGGGCAGGGGGGAGGCAGCACACACCCCTGCACCATCAGCCCTGCTGCAGCCCGGGGCTCCTGCTCAGGGTTTCCGTTAGCTGTCTCCAGGGCTTGGTCAGAGGGGCCAGGCCATGGTGCTCTAGATCAGTGGTTTTCAAACTGTGGGTCATGACCCAGTACTGGGTTGTGGCCTGTAAAGCACTGGGTCACGGCAGCTCTGGTCTGCACCGCCGACCGGACCGTTAAAAGTCCTGTTGGCGGTCCTGCCCAGCTAAGGCAGACTAGTCCCTACCTGTTCTGATGCTGCGCCGCACCCTGGAAGCGGCCAGCAGCACATCCAGTTCCTAGGCGGTGGGGGGCGGCGCAATGGGAGCGGGGGGCCAGTGCCTGGAGGCGAGAGCCGCGCGGAATCACCTAGGAGCTGGACCTACTGCTGGCCGCTTCTGGGGTGCAGCGAGGTCCGCGGTGCCAGGACAGGCAGGAAGCCTGCCTTAGCACCCCTACTGGCTGCTGACTGGGAGCCGCCTGAGGTAAGCCTGCGCCCCAGCCCTGAGCCCCCCCAAAACTCAGAGTCCCCCCGCACCCCAAACTCCTGATCCCTGGCCGCACTCCAGAACCCACACCCACACCACAGAGCCCTGCCCTGGGGGATGGGGGAGACTTGTATGAGCCCAGGGGTCTGTGTGTGGGATTGCTCTGGGGCCCCCGAGGGGAAGGGATCAGGCTCAGGTCTGAGGCGGGATGCAGGTGCCCCTACCGGCCGTCAGCTAAGCCCTCCATTGCTCGTCTCCCCTCCCCATGCCTGTCTGCCTGCCCCAGACGTGAAGAAGATGCCGCTGGGGAAGCTGAGCAAGCAGCAGATCGCCAAGGGCTTCGAGGCCCTGGAGGCCATTGAAACGGCTCTGCAGGAGCAGCCGCTGCCTGGCAAGCAGCTGGAGGAGCTGTCGTCCCGCTTCTACACCATCATCCCCCACAGCTTCGGCCGCTCCAGGCCCCGCACCATAAACAAGCAGGAGATGGTCCAGGCCAAGAAGGACATGCTGCTGGTAAGGGCCCTGCCCATGGCAGTTGAGCTGGGTCTGCACCATGCTGGCTCCTCCTGCTTGCTAGGGTGGGACCCCCCCAGTGCCTTGGTCAGGTTTCTCTCCCTTACAGCTTTCCTGCTGCCTGCCCAGTCTCCCAGATGGGAATGTTCTCCCTCCCCCTCGCCCTGGGCTGAGGCCAGCTGGATTTCCCTGGGGCCAGCAGTGCAGCGCCTCCTCCTGCCTGGGGGAAGGAGTTTCTGCTCCAGGACGGCGCTTGGGAAAGCTACCACCTTCACCCCTGCTGTTGCCATGGCGGTGACGTGGGGTGGTACTGTGCCATTTGCTTCCTTGGTTCTAGAAAGGGGTCGGAGTGCCCTGTGAGAGGGGGAAGAGGCCTGGCCCTGCATGGGGAAATAGCCACCTGGAGTCTGCGGTATCTCCTTGTTGGTGTGTTTGCTGCTCGCCTGGGAGCCCAGTGGGTTAGGGGACATGGTGCTGCTCACCACCGCCCCAGCAGGGTGGCCCGCTGAAGAACGTGTGAGCAGTATGCATCCAAACTCCCATGGGCGCTGCGGGCGAAAGGGCCTCTCCTTCCCCAGGTGTGTAAAACCAGAGCCCTTTGGGGAGCCTCCGGGCAGGAGAGGGCAGGCTGAGGCCATGCTGCGAAGGGCAGCGGGGCATACAAACCTCAGCTGGGGTCACACCCACCCTTGGGCAAGCAGTCTCTGGACGGGAGGGGGAAGGAGCCTCCAGGGCTACTAAGGGGCTAAAGTGGCCCACCCTTCCCATCAGCCCGGCTTGCTGCCTTGGTAGGTGCTGGCAGACATTGAACTGGCCCAGAGCCTGCAGGCGCAGAAGGAGAAGGAGGAAGAGGAGGTGAAGGTGGAGGTGGAGGAAGTCCCTCACCCGCTGGACAAGGACTATGAGCTTCTGAAGTGTGAGCTCACCCTGGTGGACCCAGCGTCAGAGGATTATCAGGTCTGGAGGGGCTGGCACATGCCAAGTGTCCTGGTGGAGGCAGCAGCTTGGACAGGGGAGCGATGTGGGGGTCACTAGCCCAGTGTGAGAGGGGTTGTGGGCTGTCACGTCCCTGAGGGAATGCCTGGGGACACTGGGTCCTTCCTTCGGCACTTCTGTCTTGGTCTGTACAGTGCCAACCCCGCCACCTGCATAGCACTTGTCTGGGATGGAGAGGAAGCTGCTTCCTCCAGGGGCCCAGCTGCCAGGCGGGATGTGTGTGCCCTCCTCCCCAGGATATCTCAGCACCCCATGGGCTCTCCAAACCGGGGAGGAGCCTGGGGTAGGTGAATTGGCCTCTCTCCCCAGGGGTAAGTCCCTCCAGAGCCTTGAGGGGTTCCGCTAGTGGAGCTGACAGGGCTGTGGGGGAGCCCAGGCCTGGTGATCTTGTGGGTCCGAGCTGGAGGTGCTGGAGGTGTTGGGAAGGGGGGCAGTTCTGGGTGCGGAGGGAGTGAACGTGTTCAGTTGTCATCATGCCAGAGGCTTCTTCAGCACCAAGCAGAGAAACCTGCTCCTGTGGGGCAGGCCCCAACCCTGGGGCCCCGCGTGTGGACCTCTGTGATAGCCAGGGCAGGAGGGACGGGTGCCAGCACTGAGAGGGCGAGCAGAGGACTGCTCTTGCCTGCTCTCGCCCCAGGTGCCCCCCGATCACTCTGGTCTCCCCCCAGGTGATCCAGACCTACGTAGAGAAGACCGGGTCGAGCCACCGGAAGGTCAAGATCCTGAACATCTGGAAGGTGAAGAGGGAGGGAGAGGTGAGAGAACTAGTGCCCTGCCGCTCGCGGGCGCATGTGTCCATGGGCGCTCACTTGTTGGCCAGGTGGGGGAGAGTTCCCACTGGGCGCAAACAGCTGCTGGGTGCGGCTCCAGGCTTGGTGTCAGGCCCCAAGAGCCAGCGGCGCCCTGGCCGTGCAGCCATTGCAGCACAGGCTCAGCCCCAGCAGCTTCCAGCTGCTCTGCCTGGGTTCAGCGTGGACCATTTAACTGTGCTCGGGGCAGGTCTCATCGGCCGGCACTCATGGGTGCAGCGGAGGGAGGCTGATGGCAGCGGCTCAGAACTGATGTTGGCAACGGGTGAAGGTTTGACTGTAGACGGGGCCTCTGGCAGCCTGGGCAGAGGCCGAAGGCTACAGGGTCTCAGAGCTTCAGCTACCCTCCGGCCCCTCAGCTGCCGTCCCCAGGACAGCAGTGGGGGAAGTGGATACTGCTTTCGCTGGTCCCCACATCTGTCCTGTGGGCTGCAGGGCTGTAGATCCAGCCCCTTCCCCCAGCGCTGAGATTCCTTCTGCATCAGGGAGGTCATGGGCGGTGTCTCCTGGGGGTGCGAAGCATTTGCAGACATTGAGCCCTCTCTCTGTCTGGAGCTGAGGACTGCGCCTGTTCGGCTCTGCAGGGCGAGCGCATGAAGGCTCACAACCACTTGGAGAACCGGCGCCTGCTATGGCACGGCACCAACGTGGCTGTTGTCGCCGCCATCCTGAAGAGCGGCCTGCGCATCATGCCGCACTCCGGCGGGCGTGTGGGCAAGGGGCTTTACTTCGCCTCCGAGAATGGCAAGTCGATGGGATACGGTAAGGCCCGCGGCTGCCTGGCCTGGGTGCTCTCCCAGCCATCCACGCTTCCTCCCCCACCCCTCTCTGATCCCCTCCAGGCAAGAGGAGACACTGGCAGCCTCTGCAGGGCGAGTATCTGTCTGGGGACAGTGGAAAGCCCCGGCATTACATTCTCAGGGCCCCCTTTCCCTCTCCTGCCCCAGGCCTGCACCCTCCTGGATGGTGTGGCCCAGCTGTCAGAGCCAGCTGCAGCAGGGCTGAGTATGACATGCCAGGGTGTTGGGATGCCACAGACGAGGGTGCGAGCCAGAGGTTAGACTAAGGGAGAGTGAAGTGAGGAGAGCAGCTTCCCCCTCCTCTCAGGGCAGAGGAGAGCTCCTGGCTTGGGGGAGCAGGGCTCCCCAGCTTTCCAGGCAGCTTTAACAGGCCACAGCAGAGGAGTGATTGGAAGTACAAGGAGTGCTGCCCTGCCCACAGCTCAGGGCGGGACAAAGGGGCAGAACCAGCCAGGGCAATGGCAGCTGGGAGCACACCACACCTAGATGTATCCATGGCCCCCTCCTCCTCCAGCATTCCCTGCTTTGTCCCCTCCCTGCTCTTGGGGAGGATGGGGGACAGGAGTCGCTTTGGGACCCATCAGTGCCAGTCCTCAGCCCCTCAGGAGAGAGTGTTCTGGGTCACTGGCCAGGGGTGCTGGAACTGAGGGGGCCAGGGCCCCATCACTCTTTACCAGCCGTAACAGCAAATAACGGGGGTGGGGGAGGGGGGAGAGGAGCAAGCAGGGGGTGGGGCCTCAGGGAGAAGGAGCAGTGTAGGGGTGGGAATCTGGTCTGGGTGCTGGTGGCTCCCCCAACTTATAGGGAGCTTCCGCCACTCCTGCCACTGGCCTGCACCCCCTAGTCCAGGAATTCAATGCACTGTTGCCAGCGCTGGGAAACGCTACAGGGCAGGCTGTGCCAGGTTGGCAGCCAGGCTGGGTATGGGAGTGGGCCTTGCAGCCAGCCTCAGCAGCACAGGCCGGTCTCTCCGCTCCAGTGAGCTGCACCTCCCAGCGGATCGGGATCATGTTCCTCAACGAGGTGGCCCTAGGCAAGGAGCATCGGATCACCCAGGACAACCCATCGTTGTGCGAGGCCCCCCCGGGGTACGACAGCGTGATCGCCTGCGGCAAGACTGAGCCAGGTGAGTGTGCTCCCCAATCTGACCTCCCCGCTGGGGGCTGCTCCCCGCCTGTGGGGATTCAGAATGGGAGGAGGCTGAAGGTGCTGGCAATGGGGGGGCACAACAGAAATAGGGGGGATTTGGAGCTGGAGATGGGGGGACGGTGGAGAGTGGGGTTTGGCAATGGGATAAGTGGTGGTCTTGCAGAGCCTGTTGCTGGCAGTTCCAGGCCCAGTCCCATGCGCTAACCCCTTCCTCGTCCCACCCTCCCCAGACCCTGCTTGTGACCGGGAGCTGAAGATGGAGGGCAGGAAGGTGCTGGTGCCACAGGGGAAGCCCATCCCAGTGGCCAAGTACCGGGATTCCTACTTCAGCCAGAGCGAGTACCTGATCTACCGGGAGAGCCAGTGCCAGATCCGTTACCTGCTCCAGCTCCGCCTCTGAGGTGCTTCCCCGCAGGCCTGGCACCCCTCCAGCTCTGGGAGACAGTGGCCTGCTGTGCCGATGGCGATGATACCCCAGGGTGCCACCTGCAGCAGGGTTAGATGACAGCGCTCAGTGGGCTGGCTGCGGGAGCGCCTCTGTTGCCCGCTGGCTCAGGATCCCTGAGTCCCACGGGCCTGGAGAGATGCTCTACAACGTGCCGTGAGATGCGTGGCTCCTGCGCTTGGAGTCCCTGGGCCATGCTGCCTGGAGGAGAGGACTGGGGTGCAGCTGCCATAGCCAGTTGAACTCCCAACAGTCTCTGCTGGGGCTCTGGGGGACACTCCCAAGTGCTGGAGTCTGTGAGCCGCAGGGTGCTTTGAGGCCTTCTTTTACTGTAAATAAATGCGTGTGCGGATTGCAGTCAGCTTTCCCCCCGTGTGTCACCCTGGCGCTGAAGAACTCAGCAGGGGTTGGATCCAGGGGCTGGCATGAGCCCATCTCTTTGGCCTGCTCTTGCTCTCGGAGCTCTTGTCTGGGAGATCCCGGCAGAGGGGAAAGATCAAGGGTCTCCCCTCCCTGTTTCCGCCCCGGGAGATCTGCTCGCCCTGCACAGTGGCCTCAGGAGATGTGGCCTGGCTTGTAGGGATGGGGGTGCCCTACCCAGGAGACATGCTGTGGGTGAGGAGCTCAGGGCAGGGAGCGGCTGCTGATCAGGATCCCAGTGCAGCTTCCCAGGCACCTGCCAGCCAGGCTGGGGGAAGGTTGTTCTCTGGTCTCTCCCACAGAGAGAAAGCAGGAACAGGGAGGAGGCCAGGGGGGCCCCATTAGAAACCCTGGTGCTGGGAGAAGGGGGGGGGCACAATGGGGCATGGGATCAGCGGGCACCGAGAGAAACAGGAGGAGGAATTGGGGGTCAGACACAAGAGCAGGGAAGTGGGGCGGGGCTGACACACTCATCGCAGATCTCCGAGTCCAGTCTGAGGGGTTAATTTTTGCAAAGTAAACTAAAGAGACATATTCCCTTATCTAATCTGGCTACTTATATGGCTGCCATCACCATAGTATCCTGCATCCAGGCGGTAATTACTAGGTGAGAGAACAATAACAATCTATCTCGCTCTTCCTCGCTGGCCTGGTGGGGAAGAAGCTGGATTGGCTCACGGGGTTGTTCTGTTTGCGTGAGTGGAGTTCTGGGCGTCTGCGGGAAGATCTGACTGAGGGGAAGCCACGGGCCCATCATCGGTGCAGGTAACTCGAGTTGTCCCTTGAAGGTTGTCCCACGAAGGTTGTCCCACAGCGAGTGCCATCCACACCCACGAACCTGGAACTCCGGTGGGATGGGCTGCAGGTCCTGTTAACCCCACTCGCAATCACTCTGGGCATGGCTGTTCTCGCTCGAGCAGGCTAACTTGAGAGGGCAGGAACACTGGTTAACTCTACAGTACTAGCATGGCCTCTGTCTCAGCTGTGATCCCAGCTGTGTTCCAGCCCAGGCCTGGTCTCATCTTGTACACAGGCAATTTCCAGAGTCTAGTACCAGCCCCCAGGAAAGCTCCATCTGCACCGATGAGCTTCCCCCGGGTGGTGGAAGGTGGCTGGCCTGGCAGGTCCCGGAGGCTGAGGCCTGTCTCAGCCAGCCAGGGCCAGGTCCATCAAGGGCTTCGAACTACAGGGCACAGGCTGTGAAGTGGACTCTGCTTAGTGGGAAGCCATTGCAGAGCAGGGTGGTGTAGCTATCCCTGGTCTAACCAGTTGCAGTAGCCCAGCTTTGGGCTCACAGATGCCTGAAGTGCAGGGTCAGGGCTGAAGCCACCAGGATGGGGCTCAGCGTGGGGGATTTGTCACCAGGGGTATCTGAGCACCCAAGAAATCTGGGCCCCTTGAAGTCAATGACAAACCTCCCCTTGAGCTGGGAGAGGCAGGATTTCCCCCAGGCTGTGATGGCCTTGCCAGTCTACAGCAGCTGCCCTGGTTGGAGTACATCCAGTGTGATGAGTTCTGTTCCAGGGAGTGGTGGGGCAGCTGTACCTCACACCTTGTCCAGTGCCTCCCCTGGCCTGCCTGGAGCTGCTCTCGCATCCTCCCACTGCCTGCCCCTCTGGTTCTCCAGGGCTGGGTGGCTTCTGGGGGAAGCAGAGCCAGGGAGATACCAGAGCCTCTTCTCACATTGTAAGGAGAGTGATCACTTTAGATAAGCTATTACCAGCAGGAGAGTGGGGTTGGGGGAGAGAAAACCTTTTGTAGTGGTAAGCACCCATTTTTTTTCATGCTTTGTGTGTATAAAAAGATCTTGTGTACTTTCCACAGTATGCATCCGATGAAGTGAGCTATAGCTCACGAAAGCTTATGCTCAAATAAATTGGTTAGTCTCTAAGGTGCCACAAGTACTCCTTTTCTTTTTGCGAATACAGACTAACATGGCTGTTACTCTGAAACTTCTCTGCCACAGCCAAGCATATGTGTGAGGGGCCTGCCATGGTGTTTGCGTAGTGCATCCCTGTTGCCTTGCCTCTCTGCACAAGCACACCTGTGGGCGCAAGGCTGTGTCTATGTGCTGCTTCCCCTAGCAGCAGCCAAAGGGGCAGGTCCCCACTGACCAATCTGCCCTCAGTCCAGTTTTTGTGCTTAGGACATGGATGCTAACTGTGCTGTCGGAAGCCGGCTCCATACCCACTCTGTTCTGCCAGTGCCCCTCAATCCTGACCTGTACTCCCTTTTCCTATTGGCCCTGTAATTCTTTAATGAGAGCAAGTCCCTTCAAAGCAGTGGAACGAGATCATAACGCTAATTGCAGCTGGGTCCTAATTCAGAAATAAGGACTGACACACCCTCTCTACCCCAGTAGATCCCCCGTACCCTCTCTGTGTCAATATCATCGTGGGGTATAAGGCTGCTGGCTGTTCTTTTGCAACAAGTGGTGTCTTGGGCCTGCTGCCATCAGTTGCTTTGTTCCCTCGATAGCGTGACAGTGCTTGATAATGGGAGCAAAAATCTCGTCATCCGCACCACCCGCCACCTCCTTGTTTGGCTCGCCAGCCAATCCAATCTTGGCCTCCAGCTCCTCTAGGGCCATAAAATCCAGAGGTAAAACTCCCTGAGAATAATGGGTTCCCTTAAAAAAAAAATCTTGTAAACAAGCTAATGGCTGCAATGTAAACTCGTAAATAAGGAACCTCTCCTCGGCTCCCACTGCTTTGGGGCTAAATGTGTCTTTTCCTCCACCATGGGCCCTGAGACATGGGGGAGGAGGAACAGGTCTTGCTCTAGCCATTAAAGCCTCTGCTCTGTAGAGAAGGGCTGATCCTTCTGGATGGCTCTGGAAGTCATTTTTATTTAGACGTACTTGGGCCAGATCTTCAGCTAGTGGAAAAGGGTGTAGTCTGAAGTCAGGGCATGGCGCTCCAGCAATTCGCAGCAACTAAGGATCTGGCCTGGTTATTCACTTGATCCCAGGCTTCCTGCAGCTTCTTCCCCCCTGAAAACTGCGATCTCTGTTCTGGACAGCAGCTGTCCCCTCTTGCCACCACCATGAACGAGGACTGAACCTGGGACCTTCACCTAAAGCCCAAGCCTCTCCCACTCCAGCTGGAGAAGTAATCATCAGCTGTGTGGCCGGTTGTTGCATTTGCTGGGCCAAGCCACTCAGGGGAGACATAATCACAGGCACTAAGCTAGTATATTTTGTGGGTGCTGCCACAGGGGTGTGGCTGGGTGGGGAGCCCTTGCCCCTTGGTCATGCCTGAGGAGTATGTATGACAACCTCCGCAAAGGACTTGGGTCCCAGGAAGCATTTGGCTTGGCTGAGGGAACAGGTATAAGAATGGTTGAGGGGGCAAGCAAAATGTCTCCAGCTGAAGCCCCCCCACCTATGAGCAAGGCTGCAGCTTTCATAGCCCTCTTTGGCGTTCATCCGCTCTGGCCATGGGTTCTGCAAAACCAGATTGCTGTGTTACAAGAGAAGGAAGTGACTTGCCCAAGGTCATGTAATAGACCAGTGGCAGAGCTGAGGCTCGACTCCTTCCCCCCACCCCCGGGTCCCGACTCCTAGCCTGCTGCTCTAGCCACTAGACACACTCCTCCCCTTTCCCCATGAGCCGTTAACAGCCAGTGACTTCTTTCTCCCTGTCTGGGCCAAGAGTTTCTGAAGTGACCTGTGATTCTGGGCACCTATGGTTTTGGGGGCCCACCTAGAGATACCTGAAGGGGGCATGATTTTCAGAAGGTGGGTGCTCAGCACTTAAGAGTCAGGCTCCTTGACGGCGTCTCAAGCTGGGCCCCTAAAATCACTGGCCATGTAGGAAAACCTTGGCCCTAATCTTCTTGTTGTCTGTACGCTGTTCCTCCAGGGCGGGCAGGACAGACAGGTTAGCAAACTCCCACTGCCTGCATGGGACTCTCTGGGCTGGTCTCTTCAGTGGCTGAAGTTGTCTCTGGAGGGCAGGGGTCCTGGGCCACATGCCCTGACTGGAGCAGGGAACCCCTGGGCTGCTAGGCCCTGCCTAGCCAGAGTAGAAAGAGGGCTCCCCGAACCGGACACCTGGGATCCTCTGCCTAGAACCCTCAAAATAACATAGCGCCCCCTACAGCTGGAAAGAGGAGTCTGGGCAGAGCACTCCAAGCTGGGGGACAGCAGCCTGAGCCCAGCTCCTCATCCCTTCCTGAGCCTCCAGCCCCACAGCCCAAGGCACCAGCCCCTCTCCACTCTGCCCCCCTGGTATTTGTCTGCTTTAGGTGATGCATGGCCTGGCTGCGTGCAAGAGCTGGCCCTGATCCTCTCCCCTGCAGGGGCGGCGCCCCGGAGGTGAGACCTTTGCTTTGCCCCTGGCCTGGCAGTGCAGTGAGGGGGCAGCCTGGGCCCAGGTGTGGGGCTGAGAGCCGAGGCTGCTTAGGACCCAGTAGAATTCTCTGTGTGAATGACAGTGCTTTAAAAGGCCAGGCAAAGACCAGATGTGACAGCCTGTGCCATCCGCAGCACAGAGCAGCAGCAGCAGCCTCCCGACACCCATCCAGAGGGGGGAGAGAGGGGACCGCTGCCAGGCAGATGTGGCCCCTGCTTCCCCAGAGGATGCTGTGAGGCCCTCCATCATTCCAGCTTCAGGGGCTGGGACAGTGGACCCCCCCCCACACACACACACACACTGGCATGGGGAGCCAGGGGGACTCTGATGCCATGAGCCAAGCGGGCGCGTGGAGGTGAGACACATGCCGCCTTGCATCGGGTGGGCTTTGCTCATTCATGTCCCCACCAGGCGTGGGGTGCACTGTAGCATGGGTCCATCAAACCCACCCTGATTCCAGGGGCAGGGAGAGAGCTGGAGCCATCACAGCGTGTATCCGATCAGAGGGGTAAAAGTTGCTCATCTGATAGAGCCGAGATGAGGATCCCACCAGCCTGGATGCCAGCCTCCCAAGAGTCTCCCAGGGCATTCGAGTCTGGTGAGTTACCCACCTCCTGCCAGGAGAAGTCGGGGGAGGAGGGGATTTGTTCTCTTACTAAAGGAGAATGGCAGGGTGAGGCCCGATCTTGCAGGCCCTCGGCAAGGGATCCGACCCTTCTTTGTAGACAGTTTCACATAATTTGTGTCCCAAATGTGTTATGGGATTAGGAGCAGATTACCGGCGGGGGTGGTGGAGAGATCTGGAGGCAAAGGAGGTGCATTTACCACTGGGGCTTGGAAGGGGGCCACTGAGCGGGCACAGACACGGGCTTTGCCCTAGGCCAGGGTTAGATGAGAAACTAGCTAGTAATGTCGGTTGGAGGGATATTTTAAAGACCTGTCTATGCCGGCGAGAGCCCTAGTGTAGACAGTTATACTAGTAAAACAATTGCTTTGGCTGGTATAGGATACTTCATCTGGGGAACTGGTTTGAGCATTCTTCTGTTGTGGAAAGCTGCGTCTCCCCTGGGAGGGCTAGCTGCTGGAGCTGTGTAGCTATACCCGCAAACCCTTTCCAGTGTAGACTAGGTCCTTCAGAGTGAGGCAGACTGCTCTTGCACCAGTGTTTTGTGAGGGGGAGCTAGGTGCTCTCCTCTGGTGCTTTTCATCCAGTGATCTCAAAGCCCTTTGAAAGGATGGTAAAGGCTCGTAGTCCCCATGTTACTGATGGGGAAACTGAGTCACAGAGTGACTTAGAATCATAGAACTGTAGGGCTGGAAGGCACCTTGAGAGCTCATCAAGTCCAGCCCCCTAGTCAGTGGCAGCGCTGGGAATAGATCTCCTAGGGCCCAGGCAGGTTCCCTGGCCACTGGACCAGGTTGTGCCCAGGAGTGGTCTGGGGGGCATGGAAGGAGAGCAGAGAGAAAGGGATCTGTAATACTGAGCATGCTGTTTATAGAGCAGGGGGGTGGGTTTTGAATGGCCCAGGCTTTGGCTGTGGTCGCCCCCATTCCATGTCCTCTCTGCAGGGCGCATGGCGGGAGGGTCCTGCTGCCCAGCCTAGGGGAGCTGCTGGAGAATGCTCCTAGCAAGCCAGTTCTAAACTGTGACCTGAGGATTGGCAGCAGCTCCTAAGCATCGCACTGCTCCTGTCCAGGAACCAGAACCTGCCACGTGCCTGGCCGGTCCAAAGCCAAACAGCTGGCTTCGAAGGCCAGCCGCGAGCTGCTCGCGAATGAGCTCTGGGTTAGCAATCGCTAATGGGGGCCAATGGGTGAAGGAGACTCTGTGCTCAAAGGCAGACACTCCATCACAAGCCCAAGGGGAAGCTTCCTAAATCACTGATTTACCCACCTCTCCTGGGGCTGGATTTGTGCCCATTTGTCCCTCCCCAGTTCCTGCAGAGAGGCCAGCGCTCAACACAGCCCTCCTGGTCCCCTCTCTTAAGCTGACCAGACAGCAAGTGTGAAAAATTGGGACAGAGGGTGGGGGGTAATAGGCTTCTGTACAAGAAAAAGCCTCAAATATTGGGACTGTTCTCATAAAATGGGGACATCTTGTCACCCTACCCTCTCTCCCAGAGGGCCGGGCTGCCCTTAGCCCATTGTTCATTGCCTACTGTGGCCCTCCAGGCCTGCAGTTTTGTGGAGCCCCCTGGAACCCCCACACCAAATTCCTTGCCAGGCTCCAGCCCTGCTGTGCGCTGCCCTGCTGGGATCGGCCACCATGCCCTCTGCTGCCGGAGCCCATGGGAGAGACGCCACTCAGCATGGGTGTGGGACTCAGATGGGTGACATCCGGACAACAGGGGCTTGATCTACCCCCAGGCTCATGCTGGTGGAGAGTTTGCCAGCAGGGGAGGGGCCCCACAGGCAGGTGCTGGGCTGGGGTGGCTGGGGAGGGGGCTTTGGGGGGCACTAGAGGAAATGGAAGCTGCCCTCCCTGGTATAATCCCCAAGGGAAGTGGCCTGCCCTGGGTGAGAATACTGTGGGGAA